GGAAGAGGTTCCGGCAGAAATTCCTGAATGAGCTCCCGAATCGGACGAAGTCCCGATCGAGAAAAGAGTTGAGGATTTAGTATCAAAGTCACAGCTGACAATGAAGCAGAAGCAGGAATTGCGTGGTCTTTTGACCGAGTTTCAGAACAGATTTGTAAGCGAGCCAGGCCGGACATCCGTCCTCACTCATGACATAGAGCTTACCTCGTCGGAACCGGTAAGATCTAAGACGTATCGGGTGTCACCTCGCCGGCTTGAGCTAATAAAAGCAGAGGTTAACAGGATGCTGGAATTGGGCGTGATTGAGCCATGTGAAAGTGATTACACTTCCCCGTTAATTCTTGTGGAGGTACCCGGCAAAGATCCGCGTCCTTGCGTAGACTATCGTAAGTTAAACCTCATCACCAAGGATCAGACATACCCAATTCCCCACATTGAGGAACGCGTCGAGAGGGTAAGCAGCGCGGAATTTATCTCGACTCTAGACCTAGTGAGAGGTTACTGGCAGGTGCCGCTCACCGAGAGGGCGAGCCGGTATGCTGCATTTATTTCACCATTGAGGACATTCCGCCCTAAAGTGTTGAGTTTCGGCCTAAAGAACGCGCCTTACTGTTTTTCAAACTTAATGGATAAGGTTTTGCGGGGTCAAGAGGACTTCGCAATGCCTTACTTGGACGACGTCGCCGTGTTTTCCTCGTCCTGGCCAGAACACTTGGCGCATTTGAGAGCAGTACTGACATGCCTACGCGAAGCAGGTTTAACGGTAAAGGCGCCCAAGTGTCAGCTAGCACAAGCAGAGGTACTCTATCTCGGGCATGTTATCGGTCGAGGGCATCGCCGTCCGTCTGAAATGAAAGTGGCAGCTATCCGAGACTTTCCCCAGCCCCGAACGAAAACCAGTATTCGGGCTTTTCTTGGAATAGCTGGTTACTATCGTAGGTACATTCCTAGATATTCCGACATTGCCAGCACTCTTACTGACGCGTTGCGCAAGACCGAGCCCCAAATGGTCGACTGGGATGAGGAGAAAGAAAAGGCTTTCGCGTTTTGAAAGCGGCCTTGTCGAGCCAACCTTTGCTTAGTTCACCGGACTACTCGAGGCCTTTCATAGTCCAATGCGACGCTAGTGATAGAGGCATGGGGGCAGTTCTTAGTCAAAGGGATGAGGGGGATGAAGAGCATCCCGTCCTCTATGTTAGCCGGAAACTCACCCTTCGCGAGCAGGTTTACAGCGCTAGCGAAAAGGAATGTGCGTGCTTGGTTTGGGCAGTCCAGAAACTGGCTTGTTATATTGCCGGAAGCAAGTTCATTAGGCCCGTTTACATTGACCCGACGAGGGCGCGTTGAGTCGAAATAAACAGGTTTTCTGGACTCGCCCTCCCCATGTATAAGCGGACGCGTCGGGGCGGAGAGTCGTCGCGGCGAGTCCCGTCGACCCGGAGACAGGGGGTAGGTTCACCGAACTCGCCACGCTCAGAAAGGGCAATTATAACCGGTCGTGCTGGGTTGACGGCTCGTGACCTCTCCCGCCCGTCGCGGTCTCCGCTTCCCCTGTCCCCATCACTCCGACTTTGCTCTTTCTCTGTCGGCCGGTACGCGCGCGCTAGGCACGATGACATCCTCGCGGGCTCCACGCACCATGTGGACAGATGATGAAATAACGACGTTGCTAGCTTTAGTCAACGAGAAAAAACTGAGTGATTTGCTCGATAGCAAGCGGCAAAAAATAAGGACATATTCATGGACCTGGAAAGATGTTTGAAGGAACAGGGCCTGACGTGGACGTGGGAGCAAATAAGGACCTGTTGGAAGAATTTGAAGAAACGCTTACGTAAGCCGATAGAAATTTTACTCAAAAATGTATATTGCATTTCAATTGAAATTACAAGCCCTCAGATTAAAAATTCATCGTGTAAGGATCTCACTGTCCAGTCCAAAAGCCACAGAAATCAGATTAGCCAAACAAGGTGAGCGTATGAGGCAAGAGGAACACGGTGCACTTAATTGAGGTGGAACTGTACACTTTGTTCCAACAATTGATGAGGGTCTTTAGTCATTTTCATTTAAAAACTGCTTATTGTTTTCATGAAAAATTTAAAATTTTCAACGAGGTTCAGGGCGCCGCTTAATTCCTATTAGCGACAAGCCACAACTATTGCAAAAAATGACTCGCGTGTAGGGCTTCAAAGGATTTTCCACAGTATCAGGTACACAAATGAAAGGCGTTACAAGCCATGAATCACGGCGAATTCCTGGAGAGATCGGCCAGGGGTGAACAGGGGACTGTGCGTCAGGCTGCGGATACGCCTGCGGCGAGTGCTGTGCCCCAACAGAACCACTGCTGCCATCGCGTTGTGCAGTGTTAGCAAAGACACCAACACAACCATAAAGTACAGCTGGTGCAAACTGAGAAAAAATACCAAGACAGCCATCGCGGTGGCGGAGCGACAACTGCGTAAACAACCGCAGCCCACAGCGGCGAGAGCACAGGCTTGGAGGAGCGGAAACCGGTACCGGAAGACGGGCTTTCGGCTCGCCTCGACGCAAAGCGTCGCTGCGATCACCGCTCACCTCAACTCGTCCGTGCGAGTTCATATAAACTCGGGCGCGTCGAGGTAAGCTGAACCCGCCACTCAACTCAGCCCGCCCTCGTCGCGTCCATGTACACGGGCCTCTTGTGGAAGTGGACCATTGTCCTCTCACCTGGCTACAGACCATGTCCTCTAAGAACGGCCGCCTGCTGCGTTGGAGCCTCGTTTTGCAACAATATACCTTTGAAATACGCTACAAAAAGGGTGTACTCCATGGCAACGCTGATGGCTTAAGTCGATGCCCCTGACGCGAGAGGATGTCTCGAGAACTTTGGCATTTTTTTTCCTGACCTAGACAAGGGCTAGTGATTGTTTTTTTTACTCTTTTAGGTGTACTTGTTTGAAAACGTTGAAGACACGGCTATCCAGGGTTTCGGGTTCGGTGTACTTCCAGTGTTGTTGTTTTGTGCCACCTTAACGTATGAGTAACATTTTGAATATATTGTGTATTTCCTTTAATATCAGTTAAAGGGGAAAATTGCCTGGTGGAGTTTGGCGGAATTGTCCGGCGCTCACTGGCTGAGTAGTTGTGTTTTCATGTGCGTATGTGACGTCTGTTGAGCCCACAATGAAGCAGGTGGTGCCCTCTACTTCATCACAGACGGTCGTCACCAAACCGACTGCCGGCGCTGATCTCTCCGGACAGTGACTGCAAACCTCAGCCCATCGAAATTTTTACCCCCCCCCCCCCCCGCGCGCGAGAGACTGTTACGACCGGCCCCAGCGTTGGGATTCTCCGAAGGTTGGCGAACCCCTCTGGGAGATCGTCGACGCATTCCCGGGATAGCCTGCACCTGTGACGGCCTTGCAGCCAAGCGAAAACAAAGGTCAACGCACTGGTTTTGCGCTAGGGAACCAAGCAAGCGGAGTTGCGGGGAGAACCGGTCCTTGACCGACTGTGTCGTCGACCCCCACCTCCCCATTCAGGCTCCTCCCTCTCGCCGGGAGAATTCCGGAATCTGCTGTGCGTTCATGACCATGTTTGGTCATTTTTAGGGCGTCGTGACCATATTTGGGCATCGTGTTAGGTTGTGCCCCTCCATGTGTTGTGAGGTGTATTTCCCCTCCCTCGTGGCCGAGGTGCCGGGGCCACCGTATTGGCTGACGATGCGGACAATGCGCCCAGTGTCGGCAACGCGGCGCTATAAAATGCCGAAGACGTCTTGTATCTCTCTCTTCTCTCTTTGGATCAGTTGATCACTTCTCAACACGTAAATAAATCTCTGTCGTTCGTTCGGGCGCTTCTTCTCGCTGAATTGTCGGACGGTGGATCCTGCTACGGGGCCAGCTACCGAAAACGAGACCGGCAGGACCCGGAGTCCCAACAACCATCAAATTAGAATGTTATATGAAGCGACGCATTGGCAGAAAAATTCTTTGGTATCTGATTTTGCGCATCTCTACATGACTCTGGCGTAAGGGATTACGACTTCTCCAGGGAGCGAAGTGATTTTCGTATTGTCTGTCAACTTAACGCGAAGGGGTGTGGGCGTAACGCGTACAAGGGTGTGAGTGTCGTCAACGATCGTTAAGTTAGAGCACTGATACGTTAATTCCGGTAACAAACAACTGCTTAATTGTGAACGGACAAAAGGGCGGCACGAATACACAATGAGTACAAGACTTGCTCTCAGAACTGAGGACAATTTGTGAATGAATCCGTCACTGCATGCGTCGTCTTGATCCTTGCTTCTCTTCCGGTGGTCGCCACGCTGTACGGTGCCCTCGTTTTCTTTACGCGTAGCTGTCCCTCGTTGTCAGATTATAGCCAGCGGGGCGCGTTCCGAGCCTGCTTGAGAGGCTGCAAAAAACGCCGTTTTCTCGGGCCTCCATGGGGTGCCTTGGGGGCCTTCTTCTGACTCAAATATGCTTTCAACATTGAGTACGTCCACTGATACTGGAGACAGTGTGTGCACCAGAACTTGTGACCGTGCCCGTTTGATCAAACTTTGCAGGTGCTGCCCCAGAAACGCAGCCCTCCCCCCCCCCCCCCCCCCCCAACCATTGGCACCCCATCATGCTCATTCACCCGACGAAGCCAGAAAGCGCGTTTCATCTCTGCTTAAGACGCTCCCATGTGCAGACTTTGCAAGTTTTCACACGCACATAAAACACACGACGCTCGGGGGGATGTTGCCGATTTGTACTTTAAACGGAACATGACGGCAACTACAACGCCGACGGTGGTGGTGAAAATTATCCCCAACCAAGTGTTTATATAACTACCATCGCTATAAACTCGTCACTGATCTAAAGAACCTATTCAGGGACCTTTGGACTGAATCTGCAGTGAACGTGAACGGAAAATCCACAATCTAACACCTCATAAGCCATGGCGTGCATAAGCGTATACCATTTCGCATCGGGTGTTTTGTGCGTCACCGATACACATCAACAAGCCACTATCACCTGAACTTCTTCGATGTCCGGATGCGTGTAGAGGAACTCCTCCACCTCGAGCGGGTAGACGTTCTCCCCGCCACGGCAGATCATGTCCTTGATGCGGCCGCTGATTATCACATGACCGTCTTCGGTCATGATCGCTTCGTCCCTGTGTTACAGTAAAATATTCCCAGCAAAAAAAAATTTCAAATTACTTTGGAACTCATTTGGCTCTTCAACTTTCACAGAAGTTAAGGAGCAAGGTTCTCATTGGGCAGGATAGAGAAGGCGCCAGAACTCGAGCCAAATGTAACCAAAGTAGTCATTTCATTAAATACTGTCTCCAAATTTGTAGCCCAACAGAAGAGGAGTGGTATTATGAACAGAGATCTTATACTATATTGATGAAAGAATGAAACGACCTTTAATACGTGAAACTAAAAATTTAAATGTAGCCAGGGATTTCCCATGGCACCAACAGGAAGTTTTAGTCGCAAAACAGGTCCAAATGTTGGCGCTGTGACAGGTTCAGTAAATAAAGCCAGTCGAGCTAGCTGTGAAACGTTATTCTCTCACGAGAAAAGGAAGTGAGCGTTTGATTTGCAAAAAAAAAATTGTACTTTCACAAACACAAAAAAAAAAACACAAAAAGGAAAATACTAAGATCAGAAAAATGTTAACTAATTAGCACTGTCAGTTTCGTTAGCGAGCGGAAACCTCTAAGAGTCTAAACAGTCCTTTTCGTTAAAGTCCTCGTGTTTGAGTCCGGACGCGAAAGAAGACGGATACGGCTCACCAGCGGTTCACGCCCTTCAATAGTCCATTGGGGAAGCTGCCGTGGTGAGAGTGCATAAGCTCGGGCCCGTAGCCCGACGGCTTGCTCCCGCTCCCGGTAGACGTCATCTGCTGCGCTGTCTTCCGCTCGAACATCAGACCAAGGTCTTGCCAAGGATTCGCCAATAGCCGCTGCGGTTGAATGGTCACCCGGACCCCGTGGAAACAGTCGCCAGCTAGGTGGATGCCCTGACGCCCAGGAGGTACTCGCACCCGACGAGGTCGCACGCCGCACCCTAGCCTTCTTCTTCCAAGCACGAGCCCGAATCTCCTCTTCCTCGTTCTTCGATGCCCTGGCTCTGGATTTTTCTCCCATTTCCTTGAATTTTCTTCTTTTTCCAATCGCCAGTGTTCGCCGCACTGGCGCAATACGCCATCTTGCACACATTGTCAGTAGTTCATCTTACGCGCCAAATTTGAAAGTCACTTGACTCGCGCACTTCACTCACAACAAGAGTCCCCCCTTTGAAAAGTTTCTTTTGCGAAGAAAAATAAACTGCAGTTCAGTGCGCGAGAAGTCACCACGCGTCGTCCATTCACAAGATGTCCTTAACAAACAAACAACTTGAAGTAGTCGCTTGTCTCGAGAAAACGTAAAAATTCACAACCGGCTCATATAATCTGCGCCGACGTTATCAGAGCCTCTAATGTGCTCGACTCGGAATGAATATTCTTGTAACGCGAGGCTCCACCGTAATACCCTACTGTTCAGGTGTTTTGCCCTTAAGAGATACTGCAGTGGTTGGTGATCGGTCTGTACGACAAATGACGTTCCGTACAGAAAAACATGATACTTTTCTATCGCCCAGACCAACGCTAAGCATTCCCTCTCGATTGCTGAGTATCTCTTTTCGCGAGGCTGAAGTTGACGACTGGCATATGACACAGGGTGGAGGATGCCATCATGCTCTTGCATAAGGATAGCGCCTATACAAGAATCAGAGGCGTCAGACCGAAGCACGAATTCTCTTTTCAGATCGGGTGCTTTGACGATTGGCCCAGAAGACAAAGCCTTTTTGAGTGATTCAAACGCTTCTTCTCTATCCGTGGTCCACGTAATCTTGTTTTTCTTGGGATCTCCGAGAATACGTCTTCGTAGGTACTTAAGATGTCCCGTATCTCCACCCGCTGTCGCTCCCCGATTTCATCTCCAAGCTTTATGGAGTCAATACCGCAGCTACCCTGTACTTTGAAAGTTGGTAGTGGTTTCTCAGACTCCTCTTCCTCCAGAACGACAAAAGATGATGTCTGAGGAAGCTGTTCTTCACGGCGTTCTTCATACTTTTTCAGCATGTTTATGTGGAAAAGTTTTTTGCTGTGTCCAAGGTCCAGCCAGTAGTCATAGTCGTTTTTCTTTTCTACGACTGGAAACGGCCCTTTCCAATGCATCAATAACTTGTTGTTGCTTGTGGGAAGCAAGATCAATGCACGGTCACCTGCTTTCAGGTCCCGTTGCTTGCTGTGGCGGTCGTAATACCTTTTCTGCGACACCTGTGCTCGGCTCAGGTTTTGTCGTACCAGCTCCAGTGTCTTCTCAATTCGCTCTCTTAAATCCAGGACATATCCGTACGTCGTCTTAAGTTCTTCGTTCTCCTGATCATGAGTCCATAGCTCTTTCAGGATGCTCAGAGGTCCTCGAATATGTCGGCCATAAATAAGTTCAAATGGTGAGAATCCGGAGCTTGCTTGTGGGGCTTCACGATAAGCAAACAAAAGAGGTGCTAGCAAGCGATCCCAACATTTAGGCTGTTCTTGAACCATTTTGCGGAGCATTTGCTTGAGTGTTCCATTAAACCTCTCTACCATCCCGTTGCACATAGGATGGTATGGAGTGCAGCTAAGATGCTTGACTGCCAGTAGTTCATTCACCTCCTTCATTAGATCTGAGGTAAAGCACGATGCCTGATCAGCCAAGACTTCTCGTGGAAAACCAATGCGAGAAAACATCTCGACAAGTCCCTCGGCCACTGTAGCTGAGTCAATTGCTGTCAAAGGCACTGCATCAGGGTAGCGAGTGGCGAAATCCACAAGAGTCAAAATATACCGATGGCCTTTTGCCGAGGCTGGAGTTATCGGTCCAATGATGTCGACCGCCACACGTTCAAAAGGGGTGTCGATCAACGGCATACGCCCTAGAGGCACCTTGCCCACCTTGCCTTTCGGTAAAGTCCTTTGACAGGCGTCACATGATCGGACATATCTGCGGATATCTTCTTGTACCCCGGGCCAGTAGAAGGCGTCCAGAACTCGATCTATTGTTTTTTTTACACCCTGATGACCTGACATGACATTTTCATGAGCCAAACGTAACACTTGGCCTCTCAGGGACTTCGGGACTATGGCTTGTTCGATGATCTTACCAGGGGACAGGAAGTATTGTCGGTAAAGAATACCATTCTTGGCTACGAAAGAAAAAGATGTCGAGCCCTTTCTAACAAACTTCTTACCCACTCTGGCTCTGCAGATGTCAAGCGTCTGGTCTTTTTCTTGTTCTTCGCGAAACATTTTGCGAGACATCTGGCCAGGGAGCCCAACAGAGATGGCCCTTCGCGAACTATTGAGACGTGCGGCACCAACCAGTTGAGAATTTGGGTGGTTACCTTCGTCCGCAGAATGAACTTTTTCTTAATGAATTGATCTTGAGAAAGTTTCCGCGAAACGTCGGGGTCATTGGCGTCACGGGCCCCCGGTACGTTCCCAACTATGACGTCATACAGTGGCGACGGCATACACTTGACGATGGCCATGCCGGAAAAGTATGGAGATCTGATACGTATCTCCGCCTCAGGGGTTACGATGGTGCTGCCATCAGCCAACCACAACGTCGCGGTAGTGCCAGTTAGTGCTTCATCAGGTACTAATGACCGGCGTACTACCAACGTGTTGCTTCCGGTGTCCCTTAGGACTCGAACAATTTGTCCATTCACTTCCCCTGGTAACACTGGCATGGGACGTTTCTTACATTGCGCTTGCGCCTTCACCGTGCCCATAACATTGTCGTCTCGGTCCGAGTCGTCGCCATCAATCATGGATTGTTGTGGACCGGTCTCTTCTTTGGGTAGCATTAAACAAGATGTAGTTGATTTCGAAGTGCCAGTCATTTTCTGACAGCCCTTCACATCATGCCCCCACTTACGGCAGTTTGTACAAAATACTTGTTTAGGTTTACTTCGACAGTCAGAAGCCTTGTGCCCCTTACGGCCACAAACAAAACATTGCATCTCTGCTCTTGGGCTTGAAATCAATTTAGCCTTCCCAGTTGTGTCCTCACTCTTATTCTGAACTATTAATAAGTTCTTCAATCTCTTTGCCTCTATATATATCAGCTGCCTCTGCCATGGCTTCCAGAGTCTTGCAGTTCTTCTCCCGTAAGAAGAGCGCCAGCTGACTACTGCAGTTCGCCATGAATTGTTCGGCTACAATCAAGTCACGGACTGAATCGAAATTCCTCTCTGTCTGAGACATTTCTATCCACCTGTCAAAGAAACTTTGGAGTCTCGTGGCATACTGTTTTCCAGTTTCGCCGTCTTCAGGCTTGCTTTTCCGGAATTTCTCACGGTAGCCATCAGCCGTGAAGCGAAAACGCTGGAGCAGTGCCAATTTGACTTCGTCGTATGACAGGGAATCGTTCGGTGACAACCGTCCAAATACCTTCAGAGCCTCTCCGCCAAGGCACAAACTAAGAGCCGTGGCCCACTTTTCCCGTGGCCAATCTTGACCTGTCGCCACTCTCTCAAACCTTTTCAGGTAGGCGTCAAGGTCGTCTCTGTCCTCGTTGAAAACGGGTATAAAGTTATGCGGGTTCACTACCATAGGCGCGTTCCTTTGGTTGCCCGTGTCAGCCACCGTAGGCTGACCGACACCGGCCTCAGCTACTCTCAGGCGCAGTTGCAGCGTCCTCTCTTCTACTTCCAAGTGTCGCTGGCTTGCTTCTCGGGCTTGGTTCTCCGTTTTTGCTACTTCAAGACGTAGCTGTAAATTGCGGCCTTCCAGCTCCAACTGTTCTTTCTTCGCGTCTCTCTCCGCGGCTCGTTCATCGCGCTCACGCGCTTCTCGTGCGTCAAACCAAGCCTGCAATTCTGCTCCCTCCAACCCCATGCGTTCTGCCAGCGCCATCAACTCTCGCGAGCCCATTTTACTTTTTTAGTTAGCCTTACTCAAATCTACTTTTTAGTGGCAAACACTCACGTCCTGTCGTAGCGGACGCCAATTTGTGACAGGTTCAGTAAATAAAGCCAGTCGAGCTAGCTGTGAAACGTTATTCTCTCACGAGAAAAGGAAGTGAGCGTTTGATTTGCAAAAAAAAAATTGTACTTTCACAAACACAAAAAAAAAACACAAAAAGGAAAATACTAAGATCAGAAAAATGTTAACTAATTAGCACTGTCAGTTTCGTTAGCGAGCGGAAACCTCTAAGAGTCTAAACAGTCCTTTTCGTTAAAGTCCTCGTGTTTGAGTCCGGACGCGAAAGAAGACGGATACGGCTCACCAGCGGTTCACGCCCTTCAATAGTCCATTGGGGAAGCTGCCGTGGTGAGAGTGCATAAGCTCGGGCCCGTAGCCCGACGGCTTGCTCCCGCTCCCGGTAGACGTCATCTGCTGCGCTGTCTTCCGCTCGAACATCAGACCAAGGTCTTGCCAAGGATTCGCCAATAGCCGCTGCGGTTGAATGGTCACCCGGACCCCGTGGAAACAGTCGCCAGCTAGGTGGATGCCCTGACGCCCAGGAGGTACTCGCACCCGACGAGGTCGCACGCCGCACCCTAGCCTTCTTCTTCCAAGCACGAGCCCGAATCTCCTCTTCCTCGTTCTTCGATGCCCTGGCTCTGGATTTTTCTCCCATTTCCTTGAATTTTCTTCTTTTTCCAATCGCCAGTGTTCGCCGCACTGGCGCAATACGCCATCTTGCACACATTGTCAGTAGTTCATCTTACGCGCCAAATTTGAAAGTCACTTGACTCGCGCACTTCACTCACAACAGGCGCAAAGTAGCCATGAACGGCAACCCTGTTCATGAGCACGGAAATTTTCATATACTTATGCAAAGGTGTAATGTGGCTCTGGTGCTACGAAACGATATGACATATTGAAAATATCACATAGCTGAATGCTTGCAATCGTATCGGGCAGGTTGATCTGAATTCAGCAGACATAGGCTACTGTAGCGGCCCTCTGGAAATCGGCGAACTTATCAACAATTTCTTCATCGTGGTTAGTTTAAGAGCAAACTGATATTACGTCAACGTTTTCCGCGAGTGATGCCGGTAGGAGAGTAACTTATAGTGCCTGCCATACATGTGCACTTACAAGAAAACTTAGCTTTGTGCATTAATAAACACTTCTGGAACAGCAGTGAAATTTTACCGCATGTTAGGTGCCGCGTATTTCTTGAAACCTGCTCAATCCTCAGACTTTCTTCCAAATACATGAGCCTTGAGAACCCACCGGCATTATTTTTTTAGTATGTAGGTCGATGAAACTGATACATATACAGTATAGTGACACTTATTTGTCTAATGAATAATTAGTGCGATTTCAACATTTACAGGCACACGCCGCACCTGGGAGGAAATTGTTTTTTCCCCCGAAAACATAATGTTTAAAAGCTTTTCAAAGTGTTGCTTGGAACTCGACGCACACAGGATATGCATTAGCAGGCAACATAAAGACTACAGAAGAGATTACTACGTTGTATTACATCGACGACAGTGCACCCGACGCCGGCTTTACAGAATCTATGACCTTGTACGTATGACCAGGTGCTGGCCATTGGTTTAATTTACACTCTTCAGCTACCAATGAAAGTGTCTTGGGGCTCACCCGGTGTGGTACCACCTGTCACGCACCGCATCCTTCGTCATGTCGGGCTGGTTGTGGTACCTCTTGAAGACGAGGTAGCCGCGAGCACAAAGCTCACCACGGGTACCCAAAGGGACGATGTTGTTGCTGGAGTCCACTACCTTTACCTGCACGCGCCACGAAAGTACAGCACGAGATGTCCTCGCTAACGTGAAACACTGTGCCGTCGCTTCTAGAAGCGATACATACATAGTGTCATTTATTAGGGTTAGAGTCAGTGACGGATCCAAAAGGGGGGTTGGGGCGTTCACCCCACCGCCAAATCTGTGTCAGCACCCCCCCCCTCCCCCCTATACCCCCACTTCAGTGCTCGTAGTCCACCTCCTATCCCCAGTTAGAAAAAAAAAATGAGTGAAAGCAAGTACACATTAATAGTACTTATGCTATATGAAGGGGATTTTCTGCTAGTAAAAACAAAGTCATGACCACGCCACCCCCCTTTCCGGTGTTACTTCAGGCGACCGCTCCCCCCTCCTCCTCTAAAATGAGTGGCTGTATTCGCCCCTGCTGAGAGCCTTAAATGCCCCACCCAACGGGGGTAATTTGCCATCAGTTTTCTCGCAAGTGACGCGAAAAGCTAATCTCGCAATGACGTCATTATATAACGTCATGGTGACGTCACGGATCGTAAATGTTTGCGACTTCGCATATACGTGATATCGCACGATGTCGTTATCACGTGACATCGTACCTTGGTCGAAGATGGGACGATCGCGGAGGCTGTGCAAGAAAAGCTTTCAGAGGAGTACGGTGGAAGATCAGTGCATCAACTGAGAAGAAAACCAAGATTGCTAACGCCTTCCAGTCGTCTTAGACGAATACATAAAGGACATATGGCTTTTTTCGAGAGCATGCACAGGTCTCGGACTTGGCTTTCTCCTACAGAGTATTTCCACGATACATTGCACTCAACGACAAACGGCAAACGTTTGTATCAGTTGCACAATCGTAATACCAACTTTATACGCGCTGAGAGGAAATTTATATCAGTGATTGCGAAAACTTCTCAGACATTAACTGTATGAGCAAAGTGAGTTAGCTACTAAAACACGCATAATATTTTCCAACGATTCGTGTCGCGTCTATGCACTTCTAATAAGGAATCTGAAAGTTGAGCCAGGTAGTTAAGAATTTTCCAAAAGTTTTAGATAAATGTCATTTTTTACAACACTTAGAGACGGTATGAGTGTTAGTATAATCGCTGTCACTTAGCCGAGTAAGACTGAAAACTCGAGACATACGAAACATGAAGTTCGGTTTTGAAAGGTGTACTACAATCATTGTTACACTGGCATTCAAAGCAAAAATAAAATATATGTACAAAACGTATTCTAGCTGCCTCAAATTACCTCAACGTGACCTAGTGGTTTTCCGACCGTGTGAATCCATTTTTCCACCGGCTCGTCGGGATTTGTAGCCGTAATGACTGGACTGCATTCTGTCGACCCATAACATATCTGCAAGGATAGAAGTCGAGCTTGAAGGAAGATCGAAACGCGATTTATAACAACTCTTAAAATGGAAATATTCTCTACTCACAATTACTAAAAGCTTCACTCTTCTGTGTGATATGGCTCACTTTGACATTGCGTCAACTTTACTAGAGTTTGTTCTAGTAACGTTGCGCTGGTTGTGCGGCCTCCATGGCGGTCTCTGTGACGCTGCGTGGGCGGGCCTCTATGACGAAACTCTATGACGATGCACACAGCGTGTACGGGAGAAAAATACCAAGCTATAGAATTTCTTTAACGGTGCACACAAAATGGGATCGACGACGTCAATGGCCCGGTCTTGAATTATGGCTTCGTTGCAACGATGCGGGGGGTAGGGCGATTGTGACACTAATTGCAAAGTGTTTCAGACATGGTTCAGTCCCTGATTCTAATCAATCACAAACTCGTATCACAATCCACAAAGGATTCAAATTATTTTAAAAGTTTCATTTGAGTTCCACAACTGCGGTAATCATAATAAGGTTTACTGCATATACCATTCAGGATTGCAGTGGCACACCGAGGCGCGCGAATCGCATTTATGAATAGAGAGTACTAGCTGCTCAGTTTCAAAGAATGATGACTTGAAAGTTTGCACGGAACATTGATGGCATATCATTGCGAGACCAAAATTATTCTTAAAATATTTCAAAGAGACACTAAATTGAAACGGTGAATCAGTTTATATTGAAAAATTATACTTTAAAAACTCTAATCACATTAATTTCACCATCATATATGTTTATTATTACAGGAAAAAACCAAGGACAAAGTTTCATTTTAAATTTCACGCTGATGTCGCTGCATATGACGTCACACATTTCCAAGTCTGTCTTTAGTATTCCGCCTACATTAGCCCAGCGAATTTTTTCTAAAACTTGGTACGTCTTGCATACGGGCCCCTCAGATGACAATGTATACTTCATTTTTACCGATTAGGAATTCCGTAGGCCCTAATAGGCGCTGTTAGAATCGACGTCGTCACGACGATTGGTGCGGGAACTTCGAGGTAGCGACGCCATGCGCACTTTCTTTTCGCGCGTTTCCTCGCTTGAAATACTACTTCTCGGAGTTAGAATGGTAATTTTGGTATTGCGGAAAAGGTGATTTGCCAACACGAGAAAAAAAAAAAAAACCTCTTTCTCTTAAGTTATGCTAACTCCAGCTCGCCACACTTCTAGCCACGACGATAGCTATAGCGCGAGAACAGAACGACGACTAAGAGACAAGAAGGACTCTTTGTCGCCGTTCTGTTCTCACACTATAACTATCGTCATGTCATACCAACTAGCCCAAACTTCCACACTTCTAAGTTCCAGCCACAATCGACATTGTATACGTACGCAGAGTTGTTTGACGTTCAATCGTTCCATGGAATTCTTGATCACTTCGGGTGGGCATGGGGCACCGGCCATAATGCCTGAGATACAAAGACGCCACTCTGGAAAGCACGCTTACGACAGCGCTGTTAATTATCGAACCCCTGATTGTCAACCCCCTCCCAACCCACTACAACATTCCTCATAATCATATCTTGATTTTGGGACGTTAATCACCAAAGTTAGAAATACTATATTAGGTTCGGGTGTATATTTTACTTGTGTAGCTAGGAATTCAGAGTACACACGGAGTCAATTCCAGCATCCTCTACGAATTTATAGAAGACACTAAATCCAACCAATGAAACCTCGCTCCAAACGACTAATACGTAGCTTTTATTTAAACTTAAAGTTAGTAGCATTTGCATCTATAAAAATATCGCAATATGCATATACACCGACGTGCATTGCGACTTCATGTGCAAAAAAGGTTTGGAAATATGCATTAAAGGGGAGGTGACACCAAATTTTTGCAATGCGTGTTCTTTGCTGTAAGCGCTTCCTTCAGCTCCAGGAAGCATGGTACAAGCACCAATATTCGTGTATTTTCGCTAAATCGTTTAACATTGGTCTACTTATGTGGACCACTTTCGTTTTCGGTTTCGTGGCGCCGAGTTGGGCAGTGACGTCGATGCATAGGTGGCTTGGTTATGTGACCACACAAAAATTGTGACGCCCATTGTGCAGAGTTTCGTCTGCTCTCATACACACGTGCCACACCCAAGCGCTAGCAAAACAAACGCGCTGACAGTCGTCATGGCCAGCCGCAGCAGCATCCAGGCAGTTGCAAGGCAAAAGGCAGCCAGAAGGAAACAAATCGTTTATATTTACAACGTATGTACAGAACATGGACGAGGAAGCCGACGGACGCTAGATGCGCCGGCTTTTTAATGGCGCCGATACGCTGAAGGAGCAGGGGCCAGCCCCGCTGTTGGACGCGTGCGGCGTCTCTGACAGACAAGGACGCGTCGAGCGTCTCTTCGAAAGCGTCCAGCGTCCTTGACGGACGCACACAGTTACTCTGAAAGGGACGCCATCACACTCGTCACTACAGATCTGGTGTGACGTCATGACAACTGCTGTTGCTTCGCCTATTCTGAAACGTCAGTGTTGCTGCGCAAGCGATGGGTCTAGATCGTGAGAGTGGGCATTCAGCTACACTTTTAAAAGTAAATTAAAATATATTCTACGTGTTTGTTTTGTGCGGCCCTTCGCGTGGGGAGTCCTTGCACACAGAGGAAACCCACAGCAGGTTCGAGATAGCCTCGAAATTTGGTGGCACCACCCCTTTATTACGTTTTTTTTTTGGCGAGGTATCAATGCGTTCTTGTCTCACAGGGTACTTTGTGTATCCACTTTAGACGACTCGAAATTAAAAGCCATCTTCTATTCCTTCTAGGCCGATGTGTTGACGATGCATGCCCCGCCAACTTTGGAAAGCTTTCTACCCCTATAACGTGCTTTTGCTTTGCCTAAATGATCGGAGGCACTTCACACGGCTTTAGATTGCCTTAGTGACAGGACAACTTTAGACCAAGCTACGATGTAATGTGATAAGGTCGTGGTGACGTCGTCAAGTGATGGCAATTCGCATCACTCCTCTCCGATGATCAAACTTTGCGTTTGATGAGGCATATAAAAATTATCATTTCTAAGCGTGGATTTGTAACACGCGAGCGTTCTAACCAAAATATACGCAAGCTGCACGCGTCGTTGACCATGCGTCGCTAAGACACTTGCTTTTTTTCTCTTACCTTTGCGTACAGACGAGACATCATAGGCCGCATCATTGAGGTGGCGTAGCAGGTCGATGTACATGGTTGGGGTTCCGTATATCACGCTACACCTGTGCACGGTCAAAAAATAAAGTGAAAAAAAAAAGTTGTCATTATATTTGCACATGTCGTAATTCAAGCAAATAACATTTATCACGAGCAGTATTGCATGCAAATTATGAAAAACAACGCCCTTTTTTTGTTTACGTACCCTAAAAGCTAAGAAGGCCTTACGTATAGGGTGTCAGTTGCTTAGATTTCCAAGCCTCAGTGCTCATTCTAGAGTGACAGTGAGATATACATTCAACGTAGTTTTTCTACAGTCGTTCTGCAGAATTAGGATATTCCCTAATAAAATGTGACAAAGTCGAGTCCAAACGCGAGAGCCTTAGATGCCTCGTTAAATGCGAAAAAACAAACAAACAAAAAAACACCGGGAAGCTGCGGCGACGTCGCCAACCCGAGTGATGCAAACAGTCATCACGTAACAAGGTCACTACATGACGTCATCTTCACGTCTAACATCGCTAAAAATGTGTGCTTTTACCGTGACGTCACATAAGGTAGCTTCGCATGATGACATCGCATGACATCGTAGCTTGGTCAAACATGGGCTGATCACGGAGACAGAGCAAAAGAAGATAAGCTACAGAAAGCTCGCAATGCTTCCGATCTCGGAGGCAGTCGAAAATTACGTTAGGTTCCAAAATCTTTCGGGGTGGGGCGGGGCAGCGTAAAAACGTTAATAAATCGATCGAGAAGAAAAAAAAAATTAGCAAGAAAACGACTTTCGCTTTCGAGTCATGTGAAGCGATTGCGTAAGAAACCCTGTGACGATAACCAATGGCGTAGCGGGGGGCGGGGGGGGGGATTCGCTTAAATACTAAGTTTTTTTTTATTTTGCATGTGTGCAAATACACGTATATACATACGAATGCAAGCACAAACATACATAAAGTATGGTTGACCCCCCCCCCCCCCCCTCCACCACCATAAAAAGAATAAATACCAATCTGGTAAGGCAAAAAACAAGCACGTTCCGAAATTCAATTGCTTACAGTCACTGCTACCCTGACCTCCACCCAGACAAATGTCTAAATGCTGCAATCAACGGGCGGACCTCAAACACATTATCTGGACCAGTCTCAACTTCGTGAAGGGGCCAAACACTGAATATTTGAATGCACAGCAGCGGGAAACCGCGCTGCTTAGCTCAAACATACATGACCTGCTACGAGTGATCAGGCAAGCCGAAGATGCCGCTATTGTCCAAGGACTCCTGACTGTCATCTAGGAGGATATAAATAGTCTTACCCTTGTCTTTTCGATTAAAGCTGTTTTTCTCTCTTTCTCTGGCTGCGATACTGACGTCATAACGTCCGTGCCTTGCGCCATATTCCTCATTTTCACATTGACTTGTTTCGCACGTAACGGTGTGCAGTGCGTGATCGTAACATAAATGATTCTCGAAATGTAGACGCAACACGTACTTATGTTTTGTGATGGCGCCGAGGCTGGCGACCGCGTTGAATGCTGACGCTGGCATCACAATCGTGGAACCGAACAGCGACGCTGCCAGGCTTCCCATGACGCAGCCGAAGCAGTGAATCAGTGGAACGTTCAGGCAAATCACGTCATTCTTGAAAAAAAGAAAAAGAAAACACGCAGCAACCAGGGAAGAACCTTAACGAAAGTTAGCCAATAACGAAGCCAAAGAATGCATAAGGGACGCTAACTGTACTGTTTGAAGTATACGTAACAATTGTGACATAGATGTCAGAAAAATAAAGCTAACGAAACAAAAATCACAGCATATCCACGAGGTGAATGATGACGAGTGGGGCGAAGCGGACGGACGGATAAATGGACGCATAGAAGCACACACGTACTGACGAACACTTCGCCCCACTCATCATAATTCAATCCGTGGATATGCTGTGACAACGTTTTTATTGACAAGCAGTGCAATGCAACTGGCTACTACGATGACTAGGACAACTCGGGACATACGACCCACGGCGTAAAAAGCTTCTACCCTAAAAAAAAGAAAAAAGCTTGCTGCCGGCTGGGACCAAGAATTATATTGGAGGTTATGTCTTTGCCAGCGGAAACGTGTCCTTTCGTTCTCTCACCATGCCGAAAACGTGTTGCAGGGCCGTATGATAAAAAAAAAGCACTTATTGTGTAATATCCGGCATACGTAGACTTATTTTGAGCAAATACTTAATACATTTTATTATGCTTTTATTATCTTCTTTGAAATATTAGAGGTCAATCGCGGCAATAATAATTACAACAAATGATGTTTGAGGCGTGGCTTTTTGCGAATCAGAACAAGAAATAAGAAATAGATCGATTGGCTCAATACATGAGAGAGGGCCCATATGTCATAACGAATGAATTAATTTTGTAAGTGTCGCACTGCGAAACATGAGATCGCAGGTTCGACCGCTGGCCGTGACGGCCACATTTTGATGGGGGCGTAATGCAAAGAATACCCGATCGCTTAGCTTTAAGTGCACTTTAATGAACCCGAGGCGGTCAAAATTAATCCGAAATCTCCCAACTACGATGGGCCTCGTATTCATATATTGGTTCTGGCACGTTAAAGCGGAGTGGTTACTATTATTCCTATTATTATTGCTGCTGCTATTCTCGATGATTATAATCCACAACAATTATTGTTATTTCAATTAGGTTCTGTTCTATCAGCCCTTGACAATTGACTCACACAAAACCGTGATTCCTTAAAGAATGTCGTCAAACCAACTCGCCCAACTTCCCATTTTATTACATGATTTCGTATCCTCAGTGTCAGCTACTTAACGGCACGGATTATGTGAAACGAATAAAAACAAAGAAAAATTGCTGTCGCAGTTAACCAAGGCCTGTTGGTTTCCAAAAGACCAGCTATCACTTGTTAATGTCGACAGTTATCCTGGATTCAGGACTGGTGTTTTTTTTTTATTTCGAAAGTCTGCCCATAGGCATAATAATTTTTGATCACGAAATACACATACAAGTTTTCTTCATGTATTAAGTGTAGTAGAGAATGGTCCACGAAGCGAGTGGTCTAAGTCGGGTGGTCGGCCAGGCCTGACACCTGTTGCACGGAGGTGACGGCGACGACTTAATTGTAGACCAGTGCAGATCCACCGTAAGTGTGAAGCAGTTACATCTTAGATTGGGGCGCCACAAAATGGACATGATGTGCCATATGGGCCTCGGTACTTTTGCGCCCAAAGGGTGGTCACGGATGGGGTAAGTGCAACCTTAACACGAAGCCTACGCAATGTAACCTCCTCTCGGCGGGTTAAACCACCAGGGAGGTCTGATCCACACGGAGGTATACATAAGAGCTCGTGTGGCACGTCAGAGGCTTTCATTTTCCCGGAGCATCTGTCCTTGAGCGTCCTCAGCAAAATGCGGTAGCGGGTATGGTGTAACATGAGGGTGTGTTGCCAAATCAGCTTTGACAAGGTCCGGCAAAGCGGCCCGGGTAACCCACAGAACACGTATTTGCACAGATGCGGAGGAAGCAAGGACGTGAATAGTATCCGAGAGTGACTAATTGATATGAATGGCAAGATCTGGTTTACTATGACTGCCAATAAACTTTCACTCCATAGGAACTAATCACACAATAGAATGCCATATATTGTTACGGGGAATAAAGTATACACTGGCGAGCAAATGCGTACTGGCGAATATAGTGGCGAGCTAATGCGTACAACGCTGCTGCAGACCGAGCACGGTCACGTTCAGCACTTCGTCGTCGTCATCCTCAGGCATCTACTTAGCCCGTGACATTACCCGCCGGCGGCAGAAGCACCGTCCCGGTGCGATCAATTCTCGAGGCGTGAGTAGTATGGTTTAAGCCGTGAGACGTGCACTATATCGGTCGGGACTGAAGCTGGTACTGACGTGGTATGGAGTGGAGCTATCTCATAGGTAACGCTGGTGACCTTGCGTATGACGCGGTAGGGGCCAACGTAACGGGACATCAGTTTTTCGCAGAGACCAACACGACGTGATGGTAACCACAGCAAGACGAGTGACCCCGGAGAGTACTGTACGTTGCGGTGCCGGCGATCGTAAGCACTCTTTTGGTTAAGCTGCGAGGCACATAAACGATCTCGGGCGACTTGGCGGGCGATGTCAGCTCGTGCCAGGGCATCACGAGCATAAGCAGTCGATGAGGAGGCGTCAGATTGGAGCATGGTGTCCATGGGCAAAGGCGGGTCATAACCAAACAGTAGGTAAAAAGGTGAAAATCCAGCTGTATCATGACGTGAACTGTTGTATGCGAAGGTAACGAAAGGTAAGTGGATGTCCAAATCTTTGTGATCCTTGGAGACGTACATCGCTAACATATTCGTCAGGGTACGGTTGAGGCGTTCCGTGAGGCCGTTGGTTTGCGGATGGTACGCTGTAGTGAACTTGTGGTGGGTAGAGCAGGATCGCAGGAGCTCGTCGACTACTTTAGATAGAAAACAGCTGCCGCGGTCGGTGATCAACTGACGAGGAGCACCATGACGCAGAATGATGTCATGAAGAAGGAAATCGGCTACATCAGTAGCGCAGCTGGTGGGGATGGCGCGTGTAACGGCATACCGCGTTGCGTAGTCGGTAGCAATAGCAATCCACTTATTAGTGGTGGCCGACACGGGAAAAGGTCCTAGAAGATCGAGGCCGACTCGGAAAAATGGCTCATCTGATACTTCAATGGGCTGGAGGGTACCAGCAGGTCTCAGAGCAGGTGTCTTGCGGCGCTGGCAGATGTCGCATGCCACAACGTACTGTCGCACAGAACGGTAGAGGCCAGGCCAAAAGAATCGGCGGCGAATGCGGTCATACGTGCGTGACACCCCTAGGTGTCCAGCGGAGGGGGCATCATGGAGCTGGGCCAAAACGTCTGAGCGAAGATGCACAGGAACAATGAGTAAAAGCTCAGCACCATCAGGGCGGGCGTTGTAGCGGTGCAAGATGTCGTTGTGAAGAACGAACAGTTGTAAGGAGTGGTCAGGGTGGGGAGAGTGCAGACCATTGATAATAGCACGCAAAGAGGGGTCGCGGCGTTGTTCAGCAGCTATGTCGGTGAAGTCGGTAATTGAAAGAACAAGGGCCTCTTGTTCATTTTCCCTCGTGTCAGGGGGATCGACTGGGTAACGGGAAGAGCAGTCGGCATCCTTGTGAAGTTGTCCGGATTTATAGGATACGGAAAAAGTGTACTCTTGTAAGCGCAGCGCCCAGCGACCAAGGCGTCCCGTAGGGTCCTTGAGTGAGGAGAGCCAGCAAAGCGCATGGTGGTCCGTAATAACTGAGAATGGTCGGCCATACAGGTACGGTCGGAATTTCGCAATGGCCCAGACGAGAGCTAAGCACTCGCGTTCTGTGATGGAATAATTTTGTTCCGAGCGCGACAACAGTCGGCTTGCATACGCGACGACGCGGTGCATGCCTTGTTGCCGCTGCGCCAGCACTGCGCCTATGCCGTAGCCACTGGCGTCAGTACGAAGCTCCGTGGCGGCAGATGGGTCGAAGTGTGCTAGGACTGGTGGATTGGTGAGAATGTCAATGAGCGACGAGAAGGCGTTTGCTTGCTGTTGGCCCCAGGTGAATGCGACATCCGTTTTGAGGAGGCAGGTTAGAGGACGGGCTACTTCAGCAAACTTCTCGACAAAACGACGTAAATAGGAGCACAGTCCCAGAAAACTTCGGACGTCCTTGGCTGAGCGGGGTGTGGGGAAGTCGCGAACTGCTCGGACTTTCGCAGGGTCTGGTTGAACGCCCGCAGCGTTAACAAGATGGCCGAGTACGCAGATTTGGCGTTGCCCAAAGCGGCATTTGGACGAGTTAAGTTGCAAGTTGGCACGTCGAAAAACATCAAGCACTGTGGACAGACGGGTAAGATGGTCGTCGAAAGTAGTCGAAAAAACAATAACGTCGTCAAGATAGCAGAGGCAGATGGTCCACTTCATGCCTCGAAGGAGAGAGTCCATCATGCGCTCAAATGTCGCGGGGGCATTGCATAATCCAAAAGGCATCATCTTGAACTGATAAAGTCCATCAGGAGTCACGAAGGCCGTCTTCTTTGTGTCTTTGTCGTCCACAGCGATCTGCCAGTAGCCTGAGCGAAGGTCTATTGAAGAGAAATATTTGGCACCGTGCAAACAATCGAGTGCATCATCTATGCGCGGTAGGGGATAGACATCTTTCTTGGTAATATGGTTGAGATGGCGGTAATCAACACAGAATCTCCAGCTATTGTCCTTCTTTTTAACAAGTACAACGGGTCAGGACCAGGGTCTAGATGAGGGTTCGATTATGCCCTTATCAAGCATTTTATCGACTTCTCGTTGTATAATAGCACGCTCCGGGGCTGACACACGGTAGGGTCGTCGGCGAATGGGTCGAGCGTCACCGGTGTCGATGCGATGGGTTACCACGGATGTCTGGCGAAAATTACGGTCACCGAAGTCAAAGATGTCCTGATAAGAAGCAAGCACACGGCAGAAAGCAGAGACTTGTTCAGAGGTGAGCTTGTCAGATAGCATTGGCTTGAAAAGGTCGGAACAGGAACGTGACGAGAGCGACGTTGATGAAAAATCGGGCGGTGAATCGGTGGTTAGGGCGGAAACTGTGTGGTCGACCAGTGGTGTCAGATGCGCAAGTGACATGCCGCGAGGAATAACTTGCGCTGAGAAGCCGAAATTGAGGACGGGAAATGAAGTTCGGTTGTCCTTAACGGTAACCACCGTGTAGGGGAGTGCAACATTGCGTGTCATGGCCACGTCAGAAATTGGGGCCGCAACATAATCACCATCGGGTACTGGAAGATATGGCGAGAGTTGGACTTGGACTGCGGCTTGCGGCGGAAATCTGAGGAAATCGACAGAGCGTAGACGAGGTGGGCTGGTAGAGACGGTCTCTGAGAAGGATGGTAGTTCGAGCCGAAGAAGACCTTTGGAACAGTCAATGAGCGCAGCGTGTGAAGTCAGAAAGTCGAGTCCAAGAATGAGGTCATGAGGGCAATTTTCCAGTACAGCGAACAGAACTGAAGTTTGATGCTCAGAAATCGTTATTCGCGCCGTGCACATTCCAAGCACAATAGGAGTACTCCCATCCGCTGTACGAACGGTAGGTGCAATCGCAGGCGTCAGAACTTTTTGGAGGCGGCGGCGGAGGTCTGAGCTCATCACAGATATTTGTGCACCGGTATCAATAAGAGCAGTTACAGGTAAACCATCAACCAAAATTGTAAGAAGGTTGCACCGCTGGTCGGGAGTAATCAGAGGATTTGCAGTCCGAGTCGTGTATGCAGCGTCACCTCCGGGGGCTGCACCGGCTAGTTTTCCGAGCAACGGTCATAGGGAGACCGAGAACGGCGGGGTTGGGGCGAGCGGGACTGACGACGCACGGGCGATGGCGAGCGGCTGGTCCGACGTTCTGGATTATGCTCTGCACCTGTCTCAGCACGGTAGGACGGGGCATAATGTGCACGTTCAGAGCGAGGCCACCAATCATAGAAGCTCGGTCGAGGTGATGAGGTCCAACGGCTGCGGCAATGGCGAGCGATGTGTCCTATCCGATGGCACGTGAAACATATGGGCCGATCATCATAAGTGCGCCATTCAGCTGGGTTTCGTCGTGGCGCGAACGTGCGGTTCGGAGTGGTAGCCGCAACGACTGGAGCCGAGCTCGAAGTAGCAGGGACATTTTGAGGAGGTGGCGAAATGCCCATATTCGCGATCTCTTGGCGAACCACGGTCTGTATCATTGAAACAGCATCGAGGTTGTGTCCTGGCGCGCTGACGCTAGACATAGCGGGAGCCATAGCCTCGAGTTCCCCACGGACTATTCTGGTGACGTTTTCTGGCGCTGGTGGTTGATGTAGTGTCGGCAAATCTTCGCAAGAGGACGTAGCCACCGTGTTGGGAAGGCGGTCAAATCGGTGAACTATGCGCCTACTTTTTGCCTGTTCGAAGCGACGACATGCTTCGATGACCGACTCCACTGTCGAGCAGTCCTTGCACAGGAGAAAATTGAAGGCGTCATCGGCAATTCCTTTCAGGATGTGTCCGACTTTGTCCTCGTCGAGCATGTCCCTGTCGACCTTGCGGCACAAAGCCAACACGTCCTGGATGTACGCGATGTACGGCTTTGTGGAAGTCTGGGCACGAGTCGCAAGCTCTTTCTTTGCGGCCACTTGACGTCCGATGGGTTTCCCAAATAGATAGCGCAATTTCTGCTTACAGACGGCCCAGCTAGTCAACTCTTCTTGATGTGTCTCGTACCAGAGTTTTGCCGTGCCATGCAAGTAGAAGATGATGTTCGCCAACATAAGCGTCGGATCCGAATGGTTGCTGCTGCTGACGCGCTCATATAGAACCAGCCAGTCATCGACGTCTATGCCACTTGTGCCGTTGAATGGGCCTGGGTCACAAGGTTGCACCACAACGATCGGCTGCGGGGCTGACGGATCTTGTTGACATTGCGTAGCCTGGTCAGTCATCGTGGTAGCTGCAATGCGCCGTCCACTGCGAAGATCCAGCTCGTTGGGCTGTATAGCGAGTGGTACCCCGCACCTCCACCAATGATGTTACGGGGAATAAAGTATACACTGGCGAGCAAATGCGTACTGGCGAATATAGTGGCGAGCTAATGCGTACAACGCTGCTGCAGTCCGAGCACGGTCACGTTCAGCACTTCGTCGTCGTCATCCTCAGGCATCTACTTAGCCCGTAGCAATATTCTCATGCAGATTTACCTTATCAAGCCCCAGCGTAGGTCCCAAAGAGTTAGCGTTGTTGACAATGTTAAAGTGCGACAGCAAGGCACCTTTTGTCTTTCCCGTGGTGCCCTGAAAAATAGTTTCAAGGAATTAGTTGGAACGCAATTAATTTTTTGCTTAAGAGCAGATTATTGGCGTCAGAGTAAAAGAAAATTGTTACACGAAAAACATCAGTAATACTCACTGCACTATTCAACATATTAATCATTGTCAGAAAGGCGATAAGAGCCGAAAATAGTCGCACGTATCTATCAAATGCGATAGGCAGGTTATTTCGTCGTGTCGCACGTGAACTATCAAATGCGATAGGCACGTTATTTCGTCGTGACATATTTTAACGGAAAAGAAAGTGAGGCACGTAAACGCAAAGAGGCTACTCTAATGTCAGATATGAACCAATATCACATAATTAAAAGTGGAATCCGTAGCTTACTCACCGAGGTGAATTGCACATTAACGGGTGAGTCAAAGCGTATCTGCTTTTCGATCATACTGACGGTTGCGTAATCCTTCGAGGTTGCTTGCGCCAGAAGGTCATCATATCTTATCGTGCCCCTGCGATAAGGTACACTCCGAGCGTTCTAAAAATGACATATACGTTGACATTTGAGACATAATTGAGAAAAGTAATAAATATTGCGACTAATACGATCAGAAAACAACGGGAATAACCGTAGTTAACACATATACACACATTTAATGTGATTGTAGGTTTAATTGGCGTTTGAGTGATTGAGAAATCAACATTGTTATGATTTGACTCAGCATATAATCATAACCACGTTTAAGCAGACACCGAAAAGCAAGTCGAAAGAACCGCTGACATGACATTTTCGATGTGGGGTATTCTTCCTGAAGGTGTGGAACCAAGCTCTTTAAACCATAGCATGAAATAATGGGTAAGCCTCGTATTGCCCTAAATATTACAATATACTAAGTTATATCAGCCAGTTCCATTCCCGATCAATGTACCCATAAGGAGAATGAGCCATGAGGTCACTGCACAAGGCTCGCCAAATTCATACTGTTGGGGCGGTGTTATAAGCGGTAAAGAAAGGCAACAACAGGATGGCATGACTCGCAACTCTCAGCTGACTTCTTTATTCGTTTTTAACATGAAACTGTTTTATGCCGGAGTCCATCCACAACTGCTCCGCAGACGTGCTTCCGTTACGGAAGTGACGTTGAATATATATATATATATCCAGCAACCTCTTCATTCGTTTGGCAGTCCTCAGAGCTTCGAAATTCGAGCGTGTTTTTGTTATCAGCGGCGAGATGGCGCGAAGGGCTCGCGCTGGGCACGCTTTAAAGGTCGTCGCCTCCGCAAAGCGCTGCATGCCTCCACGTAGTGTGGTTTCACGTGCGCGAGCTTACCAGACTCGTAATTCGGGAGAGCACGAAGGTGACTTCGCACGCTGCCGCGGCCGCGTTTATTACGAAAAAGGAGCATGCTGCTGACATACGACGCAGCAAGAAGTGTGACAGTTGTTTGCGCTGTGTATACACACAGGGCAAGCTCGTTGTTGATTGATTGATATGTGGGGTTTAACGTCCCAAAACCACTATATGATTATGAGAGACGCCGTAGTGGAGGGCTCCGGAAATTTAGACCACCTGGGGTTCTTTAACGTGCACCCAAATCTGAGTACACGGGCCTACAACATTTCCGCCTCCATCGGAAATGCAGCCGCCGCAGCCGGGATTCGAACCCGCGCCCTGCGGGTCAGCAGCCGAGTACCTTAGCCACTAGACCACCGCGGCGGGGCAAGCTCGTTGTGCGCTCGTTTCGTTGTGCGCTCTTTCTTTCCGCATAAACAGCGCGCTTTAAGTGTAGAGATGTCACAGTTGTTAGTCCGTGTTCATCCTGTGTATGCTGATTTAGTGCGTGCTTTCTTTATGAGGTGTGCGCTGCAAGTTTCGAGCTGCTTGCCGTTCATAACGCGACTTTGCATTTTGTTGCTGTTGCTGAACAATGCACGAGAAACACTCAACTATCTCTGTAAAGACGTGTTTCACTTTTGTGTTATACCGATTCCTATATAGGGAAATCAGTCACGTTTTTTTTTTTCACTCTAGTTGCCCTTTTCATCCCCGCGTGGTAAGGGAGATGAGTAGGCGAGGTTAGAACCAGTTAGGAAAGGGGAACTGTTTCTCCTTGCGTGACCTGTTCGCGGCCACCACACCACAATCGCAGCAGCTGTAACACGCGGACGCAGCGAGAAGAAACTCGGGCTTGATCAATTATGCATTACCAACTAGCCAAACAGTCTGTTCTTTTGAAATTTTTGATAAATTTTTCGATTCACATCTAACCGGCGTCACACGACGACAGTACACCCGGTGACAAGCTTTTCTCGTTGGCGTGGGAACAAGATGACTACGACGTCGCCCTGCTACGACACCAGAATCTACTACGTAAGAATCCTCATAGTATAAGGCCACATTACCCCACGGTGTCGGCAAAATTTAGTTGCATCTTCAACGCCTCCTGCATCATGCTGCTTAAGTAGGGGACGCCAGGTCGGGCATTCGACCCAAACATTACCAATATGCGCGAGAGGACGTAGGGCTTTTTTAAGTAATCGTACTGGTCAAGTGTCACCATTATGCTTAAAAACTGCGTGTGAATCTGTGCTTATGAAACATCGAGGGCTTGTGTGGGCGCTCATTTGAGAGCATTAGAGGGCACGGGTTCAATCTGAAGCGATGGCGGCCTCATTTTGATTGTGGAGAATATCAAATAAAGAAAACAGTCGTGTTTTTAGATTTACTCGCATGATAAAAACACTATAGATGGTCGAATATTAGGCTAATATGCAGTTCCTCATCGGCTACCTACTATTTCGCCCATTTATGAACTTTCTTCTTGGTATGGTTCGCAGAATAGAATGCCACTCATTATATACCAGATATTTGTGTGTGAGAGAGAGAGAGAGAGAGAGAGAGAGAGAGATTGCACGTTGTTAGCGCCACATGGACGCGTATGCATGTCAAACGAAATGTGTGTTGGAAAATAGCACGCCATACTTACGGTTTCACTTCATCCCCGAGCATAATAACATACTTCAAGCTTGGGAGTCTGCAAAATAACAAAATATCGTTTGAAGTAAAGCAACGGGACTGATAAATACTTCCTTCTCGTGGGGGTTGCGCCACGAGTATCTTCGAATATGTCTTTTTCACGAGAGTGCAAGAAACATACATAAACACCATGTATAAATTTGTCGCACCACTATCCTGGATCACAAATTAAATTTAAAAAAAGGAAATGTCAGCTCCGCCTACAGCGATCGCTTCCCCTCCCCAAAGAGAATTTGCATAAATGCTCCAACCAGTCACGCTTGCTCATTTTCATGACATCAAGCACTTCTTTCGAGTATTTCTGATAGTTGACTTTCCCATGAATATACATGCTTGCGCCAATGAATTTAGCTATAGGAGGTAAGTGCAAATTTATGGGATCATTTTTTGTTGCTAGGCGCAATATTAATGATATCTAAGCGACATCATTGTATTTTAGTTCTCATTATTATTGTGTCAAAAAAATAAAAACCAGCCCACAAATTTACGGTTTCCTCCTAGCTAAAGCCAGTGGCGCAAGCTTGTGTCCATTAATATTGCTTTTAGCTAGGAAACTTGAACGCCCTGGAAATTTTAGTCGGGGACACTGGCATAGCTGCTCACCTAAACATAATGTTTTATGTAACGATGGACCTTTAGCTCTTAATTCGCGCAGTATTTACATCAGGCGACAGAAAAAGAAATGGTCGCCATCGCGCCCTGCAAACGTGAATGTCCAGAAAAGATGTATCGAGCAGCACATATGATGATGGGGATGAGGGTATGTTTTATTATTACTTTAGAGTTAAGGGTATAGTGGCAATTGTGGTCGCTGTGGTAGGCCGTCATTGGTTCCGCGACCGTTTTAAGCGAGACGAATTGCTTCCTATCGTCGAGCCCTGTAGGCTGCTCTTCTGGTGTCCTTAATTTCCATAGTCTACCCATGACAGTCGTAGAATGAAGTGAATAAGTTGCTATAGATAGACCTCTCTTTCATGAATGAAAGCAGGAAACACACGCTGGGTGAAGGGATGGGCTTTTGACGGTAAGTGCGAAGCAGCTGCTACCTAATCTTCACCAGTAATGGGTGGGAGAGTGTTCCCATTGTTCACAGGCACCTTGTCATTCAGCATGTGATTTTGATGCTTGTTTTGTAGTTTCCTAATTGAAACGAATACTGAGCTCTATTTCGTATGCCTGATTGGAAGGAGATATGTGACACTCGCCTTGAAGTACTAAGGGGCCCCTGAACAACCGAGCGGTCGAAATTTAGTTGTGGCATGACGATAGTTATAGAGCGAGAACAGAACGACCACACAAAGACAAGAAGGACACGAAAGACACGAGCGCTCGTGTCCTTCGTGTCCTTCTTGTCTCTGTGTCGTCGTTCTGTTCTGGCGCTATAACTATCGTCATGCCATACCAACTAGCCCAAGCTGCCTCACTTCTTAGTTGTGGCGTTGCAGTGGTGCACGAGTCAACAGCGAACATGTTCGTCCATCCACCTCTCCGAATGACCTTCTACAGAGTTCGAAGTGAAAACGAAATAAGTGTACCCGTCTGCTAGCAGAAGGGCATGCAAGAAATTATTTGGTCGCTTGGGTGCCCTTCAACTGGTCGTTTCATGTTCACGTGACGAAGGATTTCGACCAACTAGAGGTATACAGCTTCGCTGTAAAAATAATTACGGTTGGAGTGGAAACAAGCCAGCACTACTGTCTTAATTGCGTTTGCAGGGCCATGCGCACCGCGAAGCTGTGAGTGGAGCTGGCATATTTAGGTTAATTGTAACCGATCACAATACGATAAATTCTAACCTCATGTACGCATGACAACGAGTCGGCGTGTGGCGTGTAGACTCACCACTGTGTCCTCTCTCATTAGAGAGAGAGAAAGAGAGAGAGAGGGTGCTCGGCGACACGAAGCTTTGCACCCTCTCTCTTCATCGACACAGGGCGCGGCGGCGAGCCTACGCGCCACGTGCCGACCCGTTGTAACGCGTGTGGTTAGAACTTTATATGGTCGGACTCTCTGACGTCTTAATACACGGACCACGATATGGTGGTTATGTATGTTTTAACGCTCCCGTCAAAAATAGATATGCCGTTTAACGTACTTTTTACACTTGAGTTCGCCCGGGCTACTGTGCTCGAGTTCGGGCGCTATCTGCAGCATCATGGCGTAGTTGTCCTGGCGGGTGAATATTTCTGACAGGATGACAGCTGCACAGTCAACCTGCGGAATCACGGTGGGTTATAGGTGGCTTGGGATGACGTCACTGGAACAGCCGCGTTGGAGCACCAACATGGTAGGGCGCAAACTCTGTGATGTCATGTTAGAGCTATCAGTACATCACATGCTGCTTCCACCGTTCTCTGTGCACAGATTCCCAATGACGTTCCAGCGACGTCTTTCTCGTACTGAATGAGGTTGATCGTCTCGTGATTATGCTGTCTTGGCGTCATCTAAGCCCCCACGTTGGAGCCATATGACGTCAAGTGCAAGCTATGAATAGCTGGTGTAAGCTCGCACTAAAACTATAATCATGTGGCAAATTGCATGGCCAATTGGAGCAAAGACTTATAGGTAACTTTATTTCAGAATCGTTTAGTGGTGCTTGTACCCAATAAAAGCTATGTAATAGTACCTGAAACACTGCAGTGTAATCGAAGTTGTAGAGGTTGGACCTAACGCTGCTGACTCCAGAGTGAACTTCATATGGTAATGTACAGGGTGTCTGAGAAAATGTGTCAGAAAATCCACAAAAATGATGGAAACGTAATAGTTCCCTATCTGACTTCATAATTGCTTTTTTTTGTGGCGGCATACGTCTTGAGATGAGTAGAGATATTGTAAGCACAATATTGACAACGTTTGACCTTCATCTTCTTCATCTGTATATAATCATCATCACGAAAAAACGTCGTCTTCGTTCGAAGGGTTGATCAGGCGATTCGGCCTAATAAACGCCGTCGAGACTCTGCTCGACGGCGTTTATTGCTGCTACTGTCTTACAGAGTGGTGGAAGTGCTTTGATCCCCAAGTCCTCTCCGACGTCACGTTCCCCTGGAGCTTCGTTCGAGTCGCCGCTTGCTTCCCCCGTCCGCTGTCATGGCTCAAGAACCGCTGCCCGGAACATCCAGCATCCCTGTCCAACAAACCATTCCTGCGTGGATCGTCAACGCCCGGCAGCGCGACCCACCCATCATCTGTGGTCTTCCACGCGACGACGTCGAGGTATGGCTAAAAGAATACGACATGACCAGTGTTTATAACCAATGGGATGAGCCTCAAAAACTTCGTCACGTCGCCTTCTATCTGTCCGATGTCGCGAAAACGTGGTTTTTTAACCACGAGAGCAGCTTCCCGGATTGGCCTACTTTTGCTCAACAAGTCCGTAGGATTTTTGGGAAACCGAACATCCATTCCGAAGTGTCAAAACGAAAGCTCGATGGGCGTGCCCAACATCCCGGGGAGACGTACACTTCGTACATTGAAGACGTCCTTGCCCTTTGCCACCGCGTGAACTCGGCGATGACAGAAGCTGATCGTGTTCGCCACATAATCAAAGGGATAGGCCATGTCACGTTTAACGCTCTGGCTGTTAAACACCCCACCACCGTTGAGGACGTCATCACGACATGTCAGCATCTTGATGAACTCCAAGCCATTCGATTGCACCCAGACTACCCAGACGCCAGTGACAGCCGGCCTTCCTCGGATGCGGATTTGCGCGCGCTGATTCGCACTCTGATTCGCGAGGAACTTCAAGCGCAAGGGTTGTCATGTGCACCCGCCCCTCGGCCTCACTCTCAATCTGCTGGTCTGCGCGACATCATCAAAGAGGAGCTCTCATCCATGGCTGGCGCTCTCCCATCGAACACTACGGCGCCACCAACACCACCCATGACGTATGCGCAAGTCGCTGCCATGCCACCTGCCTTGGTTCAGCACGCGCATCCTGTTCCTGCGCAGTCCAACGTAGCAGCATTTGCACCACACTCGCCTGTCCCAGCGCCAGTACCAGCGCCTGTGACAGCTCCAGCACACTACGCCCCCTGGCGCTCGCCTCGCCCAATATGTTACTATTGTGGCATTCGGGGCCATATTTCACGATTTTGCCGCAAGCGCCAACAGGACGAACGCCGTGGCTACGATGTTTACGAAAGGGATTCGGAGCCATCCCCGAACCAGTACCAGCGACGCCCTACGACACGTTCCTTCTCTCCGACTTCTCCACTCGCCGCACCTCGCCCCTGCTATCCCGGACGCCGCCGGTCCCCTTCACCTCTACGACGCTCAACATCTCCTCTGAGACCGGCTGTACCTACTTCTGACTACCACTCGGAAAACTAGCTGGTGCAGTTTTTGGAGGGAAAGCTGCATCGCTCGAACAAACACCAAGACCTCCAGAGGGCCCAGCCAACTTGTTATTAGTGTATGCGGAAGGGGTACCAGTTCAGGCATTGGTGGACACGGGGGCTGCTATTTCTGTTATTCATGCGGATTTGTGTACTCGTCTACGTAAGGTTACCACACCTTATACTGGCACTCTCTTACGTAGCGCAAATGACTCGCAGATACGGCCATCAGCACAGTGCACCGTTAGAGTTTTCATTGATGGGATCCGGCATCATATTCAGTTTGCCGTGCTGGATTCTTGTGCTTTTATGCTTATTTTAGGATGGGACTTTCTTTCTGATGCTGCTGCTTCCATCTCTTGTCGACAACGACTCATACATATGCGAGAGACGGATGATATTTCCCCGAAATTATCACGTGACCGGCTACGAACAGCCAATGACTTCCTTGTGCCACCTAACCACGAGCACGTTATCACGGTTATGTCTGACTCCATTGACCACGGTGACGTCCTAGTCAGTCCATCAGCCCGTTGTCTATCCAGAGGGATTGCACTTTCATCGAGTCTTGTCCGCTTCTCCAACGGCACCGCATTTCTCGCAGTACTGAATATCACCAATGAGCCGATTCTGCTGACCAAGGGCACTGTTGTAGTTTCCAGCGTGGACACACAACCTATCTCTGTAGTGGCTTCGGATACCAGTCTGGTGGAATCACGTTCAATACCAACAGATGCTCCACCTACTACGGCTCTCGTCAATGCCATCAGCACGGATCTCACTCCCCCGCAAGCAGACGAACTACTGGCGTTGTTGTCTAAGCATAAATTTTCTTTCGACGTACATTCCACTGCTCTAAGCCAGACTTCTGCGGTGGCTCATCGCATACACACCGACGGAACTTCTATTGTCCGTCGTCGACCATACCGTGTTTCTTCCAGCGAACGCGAGATCATCGACAAGCACGTTGCTGATATGCTCAAGCAAAACATCATCCGCCCCTCCTCAAGCCCTTGGTCGTCACCTGTCGTTCTCGTAAGAAAAAAAGACGGTTCGGTGCGATTCTGCGTTGACTACCGCGCATTAAACAAAGTAACCAGAAAAGACGTATATCCCTTGCCTCGCATTGATGATGCCTTAGATTCCTTACAAGGAGCGGAATATTTTTCGAGCCTTGACCTGCGCTCCGGTTATTGGCAAATTCCAATGCACGAGGATGACAAGGAAAAAACTGCCTTTGCCACACCCGACGGACTTTACGAATTTAACGTCATGCCTTTCGGCCTCTGCAATGCGCCAGCAACGTTTGAACGACTGATAGACACTGTATTGCGGGGCCTTAAGTGGAAAACATGCTTATGTTACCTTGACGACATCGTCATATTTTCTTCAACATTCGAACAGCACTTGCAGCGCCTAGATGAAGTTCTGACGTGTCTCGCAGCTGCTGGCCTTCAGCTCAACACCAAGAAGTGCCACTTTGCTAGCAAAAGTATTAAAGTACTCGGACATCTCGTCAGCAAAGATGGAATCCGGCCTGATCCCGACAAGATTACCGCCGTTCTTCACTTCCCGGTGCCTCAACGCGTCAAAGAGCTCCGAAGCTTTCTTGGCCTTGCGTCGTACTTCCGGCGCTTTATACGAGACTTCGCCACCATTGCTGCGCCACTTCACCAACTCCTTTCTTCGGGAGCGTCATACGTATGGTCGGACGAATGCCAAATGGCTTTTGACACCTTGAAACGTGCCCTCACGTCTGAGCCAGTGCTTTGTCATTTCGATAACGCCGCACCCACTCTCCTCCATACTGATGCCAGCGGACACGGACTCGGCGCTGTACTTTTGCAACGAACAGAGCGTTATGACGAACGTGTGATCGCATACGCAAGTCGCACCCTCACAGCAGCAGAGAAAAACTACACCATCACCGAGCAGGAGTGTCTCGCCGTTGTCTGGGCCATCCAGAAGTTTCGACCATATCTTCACGGCCGCCACTTTACCGTCGTCACTGACCACCACGCTTTGTGCTGGCTGTCGACGTTGAAGAATTTGTCTGGACGTCTCGGTCGCTGGATACTTCGTCTCCAAGAATACGAGTTTGACGTTATCTACAAATCCGGCAAGAAACACAACGATGCCGATGCCCTTAGCCGCTGTCCTTTACAATCCTCATCAGGCACTCCTGGCCTGTCGCCAACTGTGAGTGAACCCATCAAAGTGTCTCCGTCAGTTCATTCACTCGCCGCTGTCGATTTTCTTTCTACCTTCGGCAACGAGACGTTTGCATCCCACCAACGCAGCGACACTTACTGTCGCTCTATAATGCAGCGCCTTCAAGGCTCCTCTCGTCCTCCCAACGCTCGCGCCCATCGACAGCTGCGGAACTTCAAGACTGAAAACTCAATCCTTTACCGCTTTGTCTTCCACCCCGAAGGACAGCGCTGGGTTCCTGTTGCTCCTCGTTCCCTAAGGGCGCAGATTTTGGAGGCGTTTCACGATGACCCCAAGGCTGGTCATCTCGGTTTTCAAAAAACCTATGAACGCATCCGCAGTCGTTTTGCCTGGCCTGGCCTTTCCAACTGCGTAGCGCGATATGTTGCGTCATGCTCGCTATGCCAACGCCGCAAGCGACCCACTTCCTCCCCGGCCGGTCTTCTACAACCTCTTCCGTGTCCTGACGCTCCCTTCGATGTCATTGGCATTGACCTCTACGGACCGCTACCAATATCAGCTAGCGGCAAGCGCTGGATTGTCACAGCAGTTGACCACTTAACAAGGTACGCCGAAACAGCTGCACTTCCTTCAGGATCAGCAGAGGACATTGCCACATTTTTTCTGGAGGCAATCTTTCTAAGACATGGTGCACCACGCATCTTATTGAGCGATCGCGGCAAGGCGTTTCTCTCGAAACTACTCGAACAAGTCCTCCACGCATGTAATACGATTCATAAGACGACATCCAGCTACCATCCCCAGACTAACGGCCTCACAGAGCGCTTCCATCGAACTTTGACCGACATGATATCTATGTATATCAACGCCGACCACACCAACTGGGATACCATCCTGCCATTCGTGACTTTTGCGTACAATACCGCTACGCAGCGCACCACGGGCTATTCCCCATTCTTTCTCGTCTATGGCCGTCAACCAACATCTCCGCTCGACATCTCCTTTTTTGACGTCCCTGTGAACTCGTCATCGTCATCGAGGGAGCACTTAATCTCTCGCCTGGCTGATTGTCGCCGACGCGCCCACCTCAATACACAGGCAAGCCAACAAGAGCGGAAGACTCGCTACGATGGCGTCCACCGCGTAGTTCACTTCAATACTGGAGACGAAGTACTGTTGTGAACCCCAACGCGGGTTCCCGACCTGTGTGATAAGTTTCACTCACGTTTCATCGGCCCCTACGCTATAGTCGAGCAGACGTCTCCTGTTAACTATCGAGTAACCCCTGTTGTCATGCCTTCCGACGGCCGTTTTCGTGGTACGGAGGTTGTTCACGTGTCGCGCTTAAAACCATTCGTGCGCCGTACACCACCGTCATAAACAGCGGCCTAATTGGCCGCTTCCGCGCGAGGGGGAAATTAGTGTAAGCACAATATTGACAACGTTTCACCTTCATCTTCTTCATCTGTATATAATCATCATCACGAAAAAACGTCGTCTTCGTTCGAAGGGTTGATCAGGCGATTCGGCCTAATAAACGCCGTCGAGACTCCAACGCTGCTACTGTCTTACAATATTGATCAGGAAACGACCACAGCAATCAAATGAACTAAGTTAATTAGTGGGGACATGTGGTCGGGTCACAAGGAAAATTGAAGTGCCTCCTGCGAAAAGCCTATTGTCGCTTTGACATTCGAAGAAGCAGCCCCTCGCATCTATTGCGCAGTAATTGATGTCGACGAAATCGAAACCGAAGCGCCGATGAGCGCAACTAGCGGACGACCCGAAAGACGTCAATATTCACGAGATCTATTGTAATCGTGTCAGCTCTGTATCGGTTAAAGGGACACTAAACTCAAATAACAATTAAAGTCAAAGTGAAATCTCAATGCATGTCAACGCTTAAAATGGCAATATTATGAACAGCAGTGCCCTACTTACCGAGAAATTACTCTAAATGCACGAGAACACAAAATTATCCCGATGACGTCACACTTGCCGCCTACGATTAATCATTAGTAATAGAAATAGCTGCACTAAATAAACAACCTTCCGTGCATCAAGAGATGTAATAAAATGTTGCTTGTTCATTTCTGTTTGATTCATAGAAAAAAATAACCACCGGACGTTACTATATGGAGAATGGCGCGAGTGGTTCAAAAGTTAATTTTCACCTGGTTAAATCGGACAGGTCGTGCCATCTAGCGGGACCCAGTTGAACCAAGCACGCGTGCCATTTCGGAGGACATGGTAAAACATTGTTCAATGACCGTTGTTGCTGCTGTGGCTCCCGCTACTTTCGCTCTTCTGCTACTAGTGTCGGCGGCCGCGCATCGAGGCCCGGCAACGCGTTGCACGGCAACAGTGACGTAAAAGAATGCACTTGAGGCGGGTAATTTGAAGTGTGCCAACGTGATGCAGACCACTAAAACGTGATTTTATTTCAAATAAGCACTTCCTTGGCACAAAAGTAAGACTACGAGGTTTCTGAGCCGTTATTTCAGCTATCTACATGGACCTAATATTTGCATTCACTGTCCCTTCAACATACGTGAGTCACGTGTCTCATAATCGCAAGCGTAACTCACACACCAATAAAATTAAATCGATCAATAGTTGGTATAACGACACTAGGTCATTCTGTTTGTTTAAAAAATATAGCATTTGCTCTCATCCGCATTGATATAGTTCAGACTTAATCACTATTACTATCGGACGCGTTCCGCAAATCTGTTAGCGGCAATGAGCTGTCCGAAGCAAGGACCCTCATTCTCTTGTTTGACTCGACCAGTGGTCTCCATCATAAAAAAGTAAATAAATGAATCACCGTGATTATTGTGTTAATTGATATTTCCAGCAATCTTAATGTGCCTGCCGGCACAAAGAAATAATTGTGAAAAAAAGCGAGCGAATACTTTTCGGGTTGTTCTCAATTTATTTTTCTTTTAATTTTCGGGCTTATTTCTTGAAAGACACTGCATAGAACATGAATTTCTTGAACTATAAGAAAAAAAAATATCATAAATATGGCATTCCTTTCGGACAGTCCTAACCTGCCAGGCGTATGACTCTCTTTAAAGCGATACTACGTTGACCCTTTCGGGACTCGGGACTGCGACGAGAGTATGACGACATCCAGGGGAACCTTAGTGCCTCCCCGTCGAGGTGTTACTGGACTCCTATAGACCTATCCCTTGTTCGTAAACACAGGTAGGCCGATGTCGACATTATCGGTAAACTTATAGCGACGTACGCCCATAACCTCCGCCATAAGCGCTGAGGGCTGCGACGTGCGCCTACAAAACGACGTTGTGAGACGCCACAAGCGTTGTGAAAGCCATAAGCGCTGAGGGCTGCGATGTGCGCCAACAGACAAAACTAAGTTGTGAGACGCGACTCACATCCAACCGTGACGCAGCTCATTCGCATACCGTTTTTTTTTCTGGTTGCTTGACTGAGAACCCCACATGCACCATTGAAAACCAAGCAGAAACTGCGGTAGGCAGAGCCTCTTTTGTCTACCAAGACAGCGCCACCGCATTTTCGTGACGTAAGTCCGTTGGAATTTGTGTATTAGTGAGTGCTACAGACTTCAACTTTTTTTGTTTGTTTCCGTGAAGAGGTCACGCGCTTCGGCGAGTGCTTCACACGCCCTCTACAACGCGCCAATCCAGCCTGTTTGCCTTCCTTCTTGCGGCGACCATCCTTCTCCGGCCTTCTTAAATTTCCTGGTCGGCCACGCGTGGCGCGTGGAGGGCTTATGAGTCCGTTACGGGAAGCAGATCGAATGACCCTCACCTTTCTTTTCTCTCTTCTTCAATCTTATCCTACCTATATATCTTATTCCCCATTCCTGTGCCGACCCGATGAGGTGTCCTCGTAAGGAGAGACAGTTACGGGTCGGCAATTTTCTTCTCTTAAAACCACTTGTATATGCAAAGGAGCTAACATGTATCTTAGAGTCGTATACGTGGCAACCCAGAACTATAAAAAGCAAGTCAACTGAATCTCTGTTTTCTTTCTCAAAGTGTGTTAAAATCCACTCAACACGAGCATTTTATCCTTCACACATGGATGTGGTGTTTCTGGCCATAATTGTAAATGCTATCGTTTCTGAAGCTGCCTAGCTTAACCACTTTCATACGATAATGTTTTACACTGCACATCGTGAATCCAGGCCACAGAGATTTAAAACTTTTCTGTTTCGATCCGAATGTACGTCAGCGCGGCGTGGTGGCTAGAACATAAGCAACCAGCTTGCATTTGTTCTCAACTCTATAATGTACATAGTAACCACTTTGTCTTTATCATTTGGTAGTAAGCAAGTAATCTACATTTCTACATATTATCTACAGTAATCTGCATATTATCTAGTGATTTCAATGCGATCAAAACATTCAGACCTGCAAGACTGAAGCACAAAATGCGAATTTAAAAAAAAATGTATAGCCAATCATTCTGCGTTAGTGGGCGTATCTCCAAATAAGATCTTCAGTCACGACACACGGATTCAGCCTTAAGTTAAACACCCGACAGGCCTTGAATGAAACTCACAGTTTCCAGGCAATACTCCAATTCTGGAACTTGATACGCTGTATTGATGTTTACCTGCACAAAGGTGCGCGAAAAGTTCACCTGATATAAGAAATGGGGCGAGGCTTTTACTTGTATGGTCGTGAGCAAAAGTTTAGAGGCCACAGCACCAACAGCAAATAAAAAAAAAGTTCCCTGGCACAACCACACAGCGTATAGGATTGTTTTAATCATTTTGCGTTGGCAAAACATGTGTGCTTAGGCTGTGCCTCTTGATTTCACAAACATACTCAGGCTGAAGACAAAAAAAAAAAAAAATCCTGAGGTTTCTATACCTTCGCTCGTGACTGTACATAATGCTCGAACTGCACATCAGTTAAGCGCAGTATTAGGTCGTAAACGTCCGTTTGTTTAATGCTTTTAATTGCGCATGTTGATATTTTTACTGTTTTTTATTGGCTTAGCTCTTGTGTCGTTCACGTTAGGTGAGCGCTTGTTGCTTGAACTTATGAAAGCGCAAAATTATAACTTAGTTGCTTACATTTAAACCAGAAATACCGCTCAAACAACCACGACAACTCGGCCCCTGTCGTTTTGCTACTTTTACTTTCATACATTTTTCGACCATCACAGCTCTGTTCAAAGCCTGCTTGCCGTTCATTAAGGTGAAATTCCCTTATGTCTCATTATAAGTGTCACATGACCACTCGCGCGTCTCGAAGACCGATGCGAGCAAGTTGCGCGATCAGTATACGTCATTGCGGCACTCATGCGATTAAAAAAAAAAGGATCTCACGTGACTTACACTTCATCTTTGAGAAAGCGTGAAAACAAGGCGATAAAGGGGAATATAAAGAAGACGATAAAATAAAGCTAATTCATTAGTGAAAGTTGATAGCAAAAGTTAATTGCGTGACGATAATAAAAGCAAATTAAGGTAATACTGGATTAGTTGTCAAAAAATATTGAACCTAATTATTACACGAGAAATTAGTGACAACTGAGGTAAATAGTGCCCGCTGTACGTGCACTATTTACCTCAGTAAAAACACTGTAAAACACTCACCATCACTGTAAAACAGCCTGTAAAACAGCCACGTTAGATGGCTTTCCTTTTCGAGTCGTCTTAGGCGTATGCATTAAACATCTTTTTTTAATTCTTCAATGGCTTTGAATGCTGACAGTACGCTTCCGACCACATTAAAAAAAACTTCAATGACACTTTTAGCAGATACTGCTGCAAGTCGTTATTTATGTTGGCATGGCTTGCACGTCTCAATCTAGCCGCACCAAATCTCAGCGCATATAGAGTAGTATTATATAGTGTCAACAAATATATTCGGTTAGAAAAAGATACCGCAGCGAGACTCACGAGGATCAGGCCAGCCTTGGCCGATGCGAACTGCACGACTGTCCACTCGTATATGTTAGCCGCCATGAGGCCAATCATGGATCCCACAGGCAGACGGAGCGATGCCAGGGCAGCCGCCAAGTGGTCGACCTATAAATGGGTGTCAACTAGGGCTTGTTGGCATGACTTCATCACCGGCGACAGCGAGGGCAAACGGGGCAAGAGAGATAGACAGGACTTTGAGCTGGCTAACGAAAGCCAGCGCAAAGTCTCTTCTGACTTCCTTGACCCGTTCGCCCCCACTGTTTCCTGTGAAGGTCGACCCGGAATGAACACAAAGAAAAACGCCTATTTATATACGTTGAGGAATATGCAGCAGGCATGTTCACTTACGTCAAGCTTATATTGCACGTAAGTTTTGGTGATGTTTTGGTGGCAAGAGATGATGGCCACGTTGTCCCCCATGGTGTCCGCAGCTCTGTCGATCACCTGGCCCACTGTTAGCGGCAGCAGCGGAACATCACTCGGTGCATGGTAGTAGCTGAGGCGGGAAGCCTTACGTCTGCGAAACAAACATTTTTTTTTACTTTGAACTTCTGCATTGAACAAGCAGGTCACCCGCTTAACCGTAGGGAAGAGTCATCGTCAGCATTGGACACCAGACAACATTTATTAGGTACGCCTTTTAGAGTGATGGCAAGTGAAACGCAATTTACTAGGTGGTCCAGTGACTTAACATAAGCGAAGACACTACCTTACCCGGCGAATTGCAAGGGTTTGCGGTTGTAGCCCTATAGAACACTAGAACAGATTTTAGACGCATAGTGCGAATGGCATTATAATGCCATTCTCATGTGTGAGTGGTCTGTAGACCACTCACAATGCATAACGCCGTTTAAACAATTCCAAGTCTTGTGGCAGTTTCTTGTAACGACAACATGACAGTGGAGTTGAAATCGCCTTTTTCTTGCAGTATGAGTGTAATGCAAAGAAGACTGAGACACAAGGTTACACGCGAAGGTACCGCGTGTCTGTTTATGTGCTTTCTGTTGCTCTAGTCATGCTAGAGGTACACCATTGCGCTATACAAGACCACATCCCGACGAGACCGCATGGCAATATACTACAATACATCATTTATAAAATGTAGAAAAGCTGTTCTGGTAATTATTGACAGCTTTATCGTTCATTTTAAGCCTCTCTGAACCCCTGAAAAGTACGCCACTACAAAAAAAAAAAAAGAAGACCACATGTTACATTATTCGGCGAGTGCTGACTTGTCACGTCAATGACTCCCTTCAGAGGGACATGGTGACTGTCTTTTTGACTTCCACGGCTGTGCCACGAAAGTATAAATCACCCTTTTAAGAGAGCTTACGTTACTTTTCTGAGATGAGAAGTTCGCAAACAGGGTGTGTGTGCAGGAGCCTGCATTTCGACAAGTGGACTCGTCTTTCTTTCAATGCCAAGTGCTTTCATAGCGTTGTCTTCGAGACAACGGATCCACTCGTGGAAATGTCGGACTCCTGCACACGCCCTGTTTGGGAATTTTTTATCACGTGCTTCTCTTTTCCCCCAATTCCTGTTTTTTTTTATATATCCTGAGAAAGTCATATAAGGGGCACGTTAAGACTAAAAAGAAAAGTCGGATGACTCTTTCGTTTGCTCAGAGTGTACAAGCGTCCAATGAGCGAACAGTGAACAATGCTACGTTAAAAAAAGCAATAGGCATTCGCATACCAGGCCCCCATTAGAACCATTTCTAACTGCAGCCACGAAATGACTCACCGAAGATAAGAAAAATCTCACCTTGCAACTTGAAGAGCACTCGCAGGGCTCCTCAGCTTTGACCGGATCAGGGCTGCCGACAAGATTTCGGCAACTCGCGGGCAGCACCGTAGTAGCATCGCCGCGTCGCCGACGGCAATAAACGCTTCCTTCGATGGGCTAGTCGACGGCGGAAGCTAACACCTCTTAGTGCAGTACTACGCGAGGTGAGGCTGTTATGAAGGCGGACTGGTGCTGATGCTGATGCTGATGACCTCAGATGGATGGCGCTCACCCACAAAGGGGGATAGACCAAGAACCAGGCGGCAGGATACTTAAACTAAAATGAAATTAAAGCCAATCTGAAAAATTCGTTTAGAGATAAAACTGCCAATAAACAAAAATGTTTGTTAAGAGAACAGGAGATGTCCCAGGCTAAGGTATTTTGCCACCACAGTATCGAAGGAAGGAAGGAAGGAAGGAAAATAGAGGGAAAAGAAAGGCAGGGATGTTAACCAGCCTATAGGCAGCCGGTTTGCTACCCTGTGCATGGGAGAGGGATGATCGAGTAGGCTGAGTAACCTCATGGGGATCGGCCAATAATCATGCTGAAAAATTTTAAGTGCTAAAATTGATTACACCGTCAATTATAGTTAAAGGTTATTTTAGGTTAACCATCAATTTTAGCATAGGTCATGTTGCGTGTCCTCCCAAATGAGCGAAAATCTTTATTTCAGGATGACACGATTAAAAGAATTATCAATTTTAATTGGCCGGCCTGCACTATACCCATTATAACCACTATGGTGCAGTTCAATTCTTCACCGATGCTACGTGTACGTGGCGTAGGTTAAGAATTGGATGAATGTATATAGTGCAAATAAGTGTGGTACAGAAACTAAGAAAACAAATGAGAGATTCAGTCATTGAAATCAATCAACTTTCACCGAGTATGATAAGAAGGGTTATTATTAAAGAAACGAAGCCGCCTTTCACCAGGTACTTTTTTACAACAGCTTGCAAGATGCTCGAAGAAGAAAAAGTAAGAAATGATATCCCCCCCCCCCCCCGAAAAAAAAAATGCCCCACCTCCCCGAAGGGAATTGTGAGGAAATGCGAATGCGCGTTCATAACGGCATTTCGCACGTGAGAACCTAATGTTAGAAAAATAATGTTTTCTTTTTTTTTTCCTTACACCGCGCAGCAGTTCGCCGCACTTGGCGTTTTTCTGTCGCGAGAAACGCGGTATGCGTTTCCGGCTCTAGTAGCTAGTGTGCACAGTAAAAAAAAAAAAAAATGGCAGCATATCCACGGAGTGAACGATGGAGAGTGGGGCGAAGCATTCGTCCGTCCATTCGTCCTTGCTTCCGTCCGTCCATGCATTCGTCTGTGTGACCGTCCACGCGTCCATCCGCCCGTCCGTGCGTGCGTCTGTTCGTGCGTCCGTCCCTGCGTTCGTCCATGCATCCACCCCTGCGTCCGTTCATGCGTCCATCCATGCATCTGTCTGTGTGTCCGTTCGTCCATCTATTCAACGCTCCAAGTACCACCATATCGCATCTTTTCATCATATTCACGATTGACACGAGCATTTCCCATATAGAAGCACCGCCATCCAGCGGACATTCGAAGGACTAAACGAGAGGTGGCACACGCACACTTTCTTACGGCTTGCGCTTCGGGTCTACTTCCCACCTTTAACCACCTTGAGTTCATGGTGTATACTAGTTCACTGTATTCATGGCACTGCAGCCTAACGCTCGCTAAACCTTTCTTAAACCAAGGAGGTTACGCCCAGCGAGTATAACGTAGCAACCTTTTCCTGTCAGATTTTTCATTGTTCAACAACGCTCAGAAGAAATCTCTCACCGGCACCACTTTGGGGGTCAAAATGTTATACTTGTTACATACTACGACGGCTACGAAAGACGAACGGGTGCCGCTATAAAGAGCTTCGCCCCTAAAAAAATTGGCTGATCCCACGTACAGTGGGAATCGATGATATACGAAGCACGAATGAGAAATGCTGATATGCCACTTTAAAATCTGCGCAACGTTATGATTTCAAGGTAAATGATGCCGTACATGACTTCCATGTCATGATTATCCTGTTTGGATGTGTCGTTTACCTTCGTCATCTATTCACGTGACGTGATACCAAATTTAGTATATGTGGGGCTAGCGAAACGGCTACGAGCCCGCTATGAGCGCGGTATGTTGTCATGTTCTTATATTACACACGTGTCAGGATTATCATGTTTGCACCAGTCATACGTTTCGTCATCTATTGACGTCACGTAGCACCAAATTTGGTATATGTGGAGCTAGCAAAAAGGACAAGAGCGCATCATGAAGGGCCCAATATACTCCAACGTAGCGTTGACGCGCGCGCACGCTGGGCACAGCGACGCTACGTTAGCAAAACGTGAGCACTTTAATGTCTGACGCCAGGCGCGACCAGCGTTCGTCGGCGCGGCCCGACGGCAACCGGTGCGAAATGGGACATGCTGCATTTCACTCCGATGCGTTACCCAGACAACACTGCGTCTCACTCTTTTCGTTATGGGGGGATGCTGGGCGCGCTGAAACACGCATGCGTCAAAGCAACGCAGCGCGGCGCGCGCCTGCGAGTATATGGCATGACCGGCACCTGGCGTGGCAACGCCGGCGTGACGCAACGAAATGGACGCCGATGAGCACACGCACCACGTCACGTCGAAATGTATTGGCGCATTCACTGTGGGATGTAGTCATGTTCTCACATGACACGCATCTCATGATTATCATGTTCGCACCAGTCACATACCTTCGTCATTAATTGGCGTCACGTAATACCAAATTTGGCATATGTGAAGCCAGCGAAACGGCCGCGAGCGCATCATGAGAGTGGCATGTAGTCATGTGGTTACATGACACGCATGTCGTGATTATCATGTTTGGATGTGTCATTTACCTATGTCGTTCGTCCGCGTCACGTAATATTGAGTTTGGTACATGTGAAGCTAACGAAACGACCGCGAGCGCATCATGAGCGTAGCATGGAGCCATGTTGTTACATGACACGCATCTCATGTTTATCCTGTTTGCACCAGTATCATACCTTCGCCATTCATTCACGTCACGTAATACCAAATTTGGTATAAGTGAATCAGCGAAACAGCCGCCAGCGCATCATGGGCGTGGCATCTTGTCATGTTTTTACTTGACACGCATCTCATGATTATCATGTTTGCACCAGTCACACATCTTCTTCATTCATTCACGTACTGTCATACCAAATTTATTATATGCGACGCTAGCGAAACGGCCGCGAGCGCATCGTTAGCGTGGGATGCAGTCATGTTGTTACATGGCACGCATGTCATGAATTACATGTTGGGGTCTGTCGTTTGTGTTCGCCATGCAATCATGCCACACCATACCAGTTTTGCAACATGCCATGTGAACGAAACCACCGCAAGAGCTGCAGGACCATGAAATGTAAATCATGACATTCATGACATACTTATGATTTTCATGTTATGACTAGTCAGATATGTTCTTCCGACAGTCATGTTACGCCATACCAAGTTTGGTAACGATACCATTATCGAAACGGCCAGGAGAGCTAAAGGTCGTAGGCGGCTACGTAGATAGATACGCTCAAAGTCGCCGATGTTCGTTAAGAAATGCTTCGCATTAAAAAAAAAACGCGTTGAGAACGTGCTGTTTTTAGGCTGTGCCAAGGCAGCACAAACGCTACAAATGAGTTTCAAACGCACTGCATTAAGGCGGTGGCAAATCACGTACAAGTCAAGAAGGTGAGGCTCCGGTTGCTAGGGGCATGGTGTAAGACATCTTACACCATGGCTAGGTGCGAGGAGAAGCACGCGCGCGCCCGCAGCCGTTGCCATGGGAGAGGATGGTGGACGGATCCCGACGGACGCCTGACATAGCCCGACTAAGAAATACATTCGCATTGAAAAGAAATGGGCGTTTCCTACTATACAGTACAAAAACCCCTTTTAGAAACACCTTTACGTGGCATTGCAATGGATACATCTGTGCCTGTAATTTTGTCTTTTGTAGCCTCTGTTTCCGGGTTTCTCAAGCGCGAAGGGCCGCGTGGCTATCAGGGACTGTATTAATGAAAGTAATCAGTTGACCAACTAATCAGCATAATTATCGTAACGTGTTTACACCATTATTAAACGTATAAAAATAAAAATATTGCTTTATTTTATTAGTTCTTATTCAAGAAAGTTGTTAAAACAGACATATAGATTAGCTAAAGCACCATAACTTCCTACGTAATCTAATACTTCTAACATATAGGCTCCATATTCTAAAATTCATACTATTTTATAATTCTCCATTCTAGGCCAATTCCCCCAAAGTAAGTATACGCCACAGTTAATAGGTGAACAAGAACAATAATTTGGTATCATAATCGCGAGTTGGGCTAATTGGTGGATGTTCATCGTAGAATAAATGACACCGCAACGGTGCAAACACGAACAGACGTATTTACGCAGGTGGCGTCATAATAGAGACATTTCCACTAATGGCGAAAACGTTGTAAATGACGTCAATTTATTACTTTATACGTCGGGAAATCCTGTCCCATGTCTCACGTCAACTTCAAATATATTTCTACGCTGTAGTGCAGTGATTGCTACTGTTTCGGGGCACACCTTTCCGTGTTGTTATAGCTCGTTGTATGTAGACAAGAATTTATTTTAAATTATACGAAAACACAAATCCACATGATGTGCTCATAGGTTTAGTTTTCGCCGGCTCTCTTCCCTTATCTTGAACTTCTGTATCTTTCCAGAAACGGTTTTCGGGAATGAGTCGACGAAGAAAATGTACTTTGGCGTCTTGAAGCGGCTGATCTGTAACACAACATAAAGCGCATGATTTACGTAATTCGGCCAACGAAATAAATAAAAAACATAATAAATGCGACATTCCGAGGAATTAAAATTGGCCACTGCCACCAGTCTTTTTTAGCAGGTAGTGCCCTAACTCAAGTAGAGACTGACAAGGAGCACCACAATGAATTGACACTGTACACAAACAGACGCGCATACGTATGTGCAGTTGTCAGCAAGCTCAACGAGAACACTTCGATGCGTGACATGGATATACATTGACTGATGCCAGCCGCAAAGTGATGGGTGCTACTTCTGAAGCACTACCTCTGTATGATTGTCTGGTACCCAGAACAGAACCCAAAGCTGCGTGGCGCTTGCGTCAATCAAACTGCTTCATGCAATACACGATGTGGAGCGTTCGTGTTAAGCTGGTTGACGACTGCCCTGGAAGAGTGGCGGCGCGAAAGATTTACAGGGGAAGAGGGGGGGGGGGGGGTTGCACCCATGACAGTTGCGCTCCTCGTGGGGAGGAGGGGTATGTGGATGTGGGGAACTTAGCCCTTGCAAAAGTGAGTGGATGTGCGCTCGTGGGAATGAATCAATCTGAAGAGAGCTTGATTGATAATGTGTGGAATTTAACGTCACAAAACCACCATATGATAATAAGAGACGCCGTAGTGGAGGGCTCCGCAAATTTCGACCACCTGGGGTTTTTTAACGTGTGCCCAAATATCTGAAGAAAGCAGTGATAATTAAAACACGGACCGACTACAAAACAGAACACGAGGACAGCTCATGTCTATAGTGTCTTGCTTCTTAGTCCGTGTCTGAATTGTAGTTGCTTTTCTTTTCTCCAGTCAGGACTTTTATTTTGATTATGCATGCCCTTTGGGTGTGGGGAAAGAGGAGTGAGGGGGTGAAGATGCAGGCGCACACGCACACATGCACACACAGAGTGCGGTCAGCGACATACCCGACCATCGCAGAACATCTTGAGGTCTCTCTCACTAAGGTCCCTCCCCTCTTTCAAGACAACCCAGGCGCATATTTCTTCTCCAAACTTCTTGTCGGGAACGCCCACGACCTTTCAGAAACGCGAAAACAAACCAAGTTTTAGTTGGTACACTCAATACTGTTCCTTTGCGGTTAATGCTCCGTGCCATAAGGGTTCAAAAATAGCGTCACCTGGACTTCTTCAATGTCTGGATGCGTGTAAAGAAACTCCTCGATCTCGAGCGGGTACACGTTTTCGCCACCACGGCAGATCATGTCACTGATGCGACCACTGATGACCACATGGCCGTCTTCAGTCATGATCGCCTCATCTCTGCACGAAATAATACAAAATATTTCTTGTCTAACACAATTTTATGATATGTATAGGATAGTAAACAAAGGTTAATGAATCGGTAAAATGTCAAAAACATTGAATCAAGGTCTCTACGCCAGACCTTACTAATGGTACAATGTCTTGTACTATACGTATGCCCCAAGAGACCCCAGGTGCAGCGGCGTAACCAAGAGGAGGATTGGGGGGGGGGGGGGGTCGGGGTGTAAACCCCTTTGAAATATTTCCACTTAGCTTTCGTATACATACACGCACAAATACAAACGTACGCACGAACATACATAAAGCGTGGTTGAACCTCTTTTCTCCCCCTTCTCGCTACGGCCCTGCCGAGGCGGTGTAGCACGCAACACTTTTCTTTCAAATGAACAATGTTATTACATCCGGGTATCTGGGTTCATTATGACTTATTTGTGGCTATAGTTTGTTCCGACACATAGTTTTAGACCTTCTGTGAGAATGGTGAGAGAGCAGCCCACCCTCCACCATGCATGCCCAGTCACGGACAGTGGTTCTGCGTCATGTTGAACGTTTAACGACCATGGGTACTAATTACAATTCGGTTTGCGTGGGGAACACCCGTTCTTGTCGCGTACCTATTTCTGTCTATATATAGCCCCTTCACGCTGTTAAATGTTCAGAGATTTAATATTTGACGAGAAGGTCATTTTTCGTACAGGCTGAAGATAGACCTTCTGCCAATTAATATACTTCCCCTGGCGCCCTCAGGACGCAATATTGAGTCCCACTTTGTTTAACCTCCTTATGATAGGCCTTCGTGAACTTTTGCCAGTTACTTTAAACATATCCATATATGTTACCGATATCTATTTGTGGTCTTCGTCTGTAACCCGTCTGCAAGTGCGTGCTTAAGTCCAACAGACTGCCAACCTGACATGCTGATATCTCCGCAAACAAGCTCTTTTCGTCTCAACAGAGAAATGCACATTGGTTGCGTTTACTCGCATGACCATGGTACAATACAATCTTTTCATCAATGGAAAAAATGTTCCATACCAGAAGAACCATCGCTTCCTTGTTTTGATTACTGGCAGGGACCTTTCGTGGAGCGCCTACTGCACTTATATGAAGAGCAGGCTAACTTCCATCGTTCATATAATACCGTTCCTCTGCAGTAAATGTATGGCCCATCGATAAATTCAACATGCAGCTATACAGAGCACTGTTCCTGGGATTTTTACGCTACAGCTTGCCGTTGCTGGCAAGTACATGTAAGATTAACAACAGCACCCTCGAAAGTCTGTAAGGACAGGCACAACGCAGTTGTTTAGGATTGTCACGCTGCATCTCAACCTACGGGACAATTATGATCCCAAGAGTACATCCGATTCAAACATACGTCACCATTGACAATATAAGAGCCCTATTGAGGCACCTATGCCGAGTTCTCGGTCACCATATTGCTGTATTACCACTTCATAGACCACAAACGATGTTTCAATGATTACTTCCGTTTATGGAGAATACCTTCTATCTGGCTTCACTTCACCAGCTAGACTACTGTCACCTCCGTGGTGCCTACAACAACCACAGGTGTGCCAAACTATTCTGGGAGTCACAAACAAGAGCCGTCATTCAACACTGGTCCTGCGACAAGCGACATTGTCACTCCTCGACGAAGAATACGGCCACGGGCCACACGTTTACACCGATGGATCGGTCTATGCAGACAGCTCCACAGGTGCTGTTCTGATCCCAGCGTACCAAGTCACTATAAAGTTCTAAGTGTTCCACAGGATATTATCAACAGCAGCGGGACTTGCTGCCTTATGTGCGCTTCTATAACTTATATCACGGAAACCCGGTTGTTTTCTGTGACGCTAAGGCACCCCTTCAGAGCTTGCAGTCAGCTTTACTGCAAAGGGTGCATGAACAACTATATTATGATGAGAGACCTTGAGTAAATAAGAGAAGTCCTTCACTAAACTTTATCGAAAGGACACGAAGTGGTGTTCCAGTGATTACCGGGGGATTGTGGCAATGTCGGTAACAACCTCGCTGACGATTCTGCCCGATCCGCCCACGAGGATGCCCAGACAACCCCAATACTTTCGTCTAGAACCGACACTGCAAGTGGCCTTCGTTTGTTCGCAGGTACAATGTCGCGAACTTGGCAGAGTGACTCCACTGTCGGGAACCACCGCCAACATAAATTGGACTCATCGAGAAAGCTTCAAGTTCCATCGGACCTCTCGCACCGATATGCAACTTTACTGTGCCACCTGTGGTTAGGAATAGCTTTAGCAAAGGCCTACTTTTTTCACGTAGGAATGACAGATACCTCCAGATGTGACTCGTGCGATAGTGACGAGACAATAAAACATCTGCGGTGTTCATGTGATCTTTTTGCGAGTGAACGCAATGTGCTACGCGGAACTTTAAACAAACTAGGCAATATACAATTTTTTTTCGAAGAGAAAATCCTCAGTTTATGGCTCTACGCGTCGCAAGCCAGCAAAATGACGCGAGCATTACTATAGGTTTCTTAAAGTCGACCGGACTAAGTGACCGCTTATAAGCGAGTAATGGACAAGGGCACATGTACCCACGCAGCGCTCTTCATCTCTCCTCTCTTTCTTCTCTTTAGTCCCCTCACCCTTTCCCACAGTGCAGGGTAGCAAACCGGACGTGCGTCTGGCTGACCTCCCTGCCTTTCATTTCTTCCCTTCCTCCTCCTCATTCTCGGAATTTTCATTCGCTGTTGCTGCGCACTCCGTAACAGCGCCTCTCTTTCTTCTCTTTAGTCTGCTCACCCTTTCCCACAGTGCAGGGTAGCAAACCGGACGTGCGTCTGGCTGACCTCCCTGCCTTTCATTTCTTCCCTTCCTCCTCCTAATCCTCGGCATTTTCATTCGCTGTTGCTGCGCACTCTATAACAGCGCACTTGAAATAAAATCTGTCTATGAGAGTTGAGTATTTACACCCACCCGGTGTGATACCACTTGTCGCGCACAACCTCCTCGGTCATGACGGGATCGTTTTGGTACCCGAGAAAGACGAGGTAGCCGCGAGCACACAGCTCTCCCGGTGTACCAACTGGGACGATGTTGTTCTCGCTGTCCACAACTTTCACCTGTGTACGACAACAGCAGCAGCAACAACAGCGACGGCCACTTCAACACCAAGAATGACAGTAATAACGACGTCAGCACCAACAATGACGAGGAGGACGTCAACAACAACAACAACAACAACAACAACAACAACAACAACAACAACAACAACAACAACAACAACAAACACTGCACACGTGCGAACAGGAAAACTTTCGCTTTTACAATTGTAAGCGTATACTTAGGCTTGTTTAATTGTGAGCCGCAGATGTCCTTCTGATTGCTAGTGGCAATTAATTTTCTTGTCTGGTTTCGTACAATGTGCTTATATCATACATTTTGTTTTAAAGTACTTATGATTACTTTCTTTTCTTATTTTTTATATTTTTCTTGTTCTTCTTGCCTTTGTGTTTCTTCAATATCAATACTATGATGATGGGATGGCAGGCTCTACCCTAGCCTAACTTCTCATGTCTTTCATACATAAAGAAAAAATAAAAATTAATAATAAACAAGTGAAGCTGTTATGTTAACGTGTTGGGCTAACTTCATGGCCCCTCTCTGCCCCCCTCGCACACACGCCTATGATGAAAGCTACATGCTGATATCAAGTGCTTTGGATTATTTAGCGCTGTCTCTTTCAGTATTATTCGCCAACGTATAGTGTCTTAGTTTAACTTTACCTAACTGAACATTGTAGTTTTGGATGATTCGCCGGAAGGCCAAACGAAAGTAAAAGAAGTGGCCACCTTAATTCTACTGATGGATTTCCAAACACTAATAATCAGAGAGAGCTTGGCGACGGACAAATAAATCAATCGAGTAAAATGGTCAAGAACCAACTAACAACGTCGAGTCTATACATTCTATCCCATTGCAATAAGGCGTTGTTACAATAAGAAGAAGTGCAGGAGGTGAGAAGGAAGAGGTGGAGAATGAGGAGATCACGGTAATAATTGTTCCTATAATAATTAAAGTTTTGTTTTCGGTTCCGGCGTGTACTACATGCTATCGACTCCCATGGTAGGTTGTGCAATATTGCACTCGAAAGAAACGAATGAATTGAGCAAACTAATTTCGTATCAGCGTCGAAACTTACCTCAACGTGGTCTAGCGCCTTTCCGACAGAGTTAACCCATTTGTCATATGACGCATCGAAGGTGGCAGACGTGATGACGGGACTGCATTCGGTCGCACCGTAAGCTATCTGTAATGGAAAGCTAAACATTACCTCGAGTCTCGGTCGACCTTATCATGTAATTACAGTTTGTCTATCTGGATTTCGTGAACGTGAAGCTTCGCTTCCTTGTCGGCTCTGGTTGGGCGCTGCCTAAAAGCATATAAAACCCTCATTGGAGTGACCGACAGTGCCGAATGCGAGCTCTGCGACACCGAAGATGACATCGACCATCTGCTATGCCGTTGCCCTCGATTTGCCTCTGAGAGACAAAAACTTTACGACGCGTTGCAACAATTGCACGCTCTGAGACCCTGTGCAGATGCGGCTGGAGCACTGTCCTCGTCTTTCGTTGGCTCAGAAGGCAGTAAAAGCCCTCTCGCATTTTCCGGGGACTACGAGCCCATGTGAACGCCTTTACCTTTTGTGTAGTGCCACCGCTGCATACGCATCATCCCATTGACTGACAATATTTGTCTTTTTCTCTTCTATTTCCTCTCTCTCTCTCTCTCTCTGATCTTTATACTGCCATTTCTGAATCCCCAGCATAGGATAGCAAACCAGGTATTTGCCTGATTAAGCTTCATGCCTTGTCTCTCGTTTTTCTTTTTTCCTTTCTTCCTTCCGAGAGCGCTAAAAACGTTACTTAATATATATTGAGGGTTGGTTATCTAACGCATTAAATAATTGTATCTATGGCGACGTTTACGTGCAGTTCGATATAAGTAACTGGTTTCTGTCCACGGACTTATTTTATTTACTTTATATACTCGTATACATATATAAATATTTTTTATTGTGGAAATCATAAGAAAGGTAACTCAGTGGTCTGCACGTTTTCACAAACTCATTTGAAAGAAAACACACACGTGCACACGCACTCGTGTACTGCCAGAAACACACTGAACGCGCATTGTATTTTTTGTACGCAGGTGCCCGGCGCACATCATCAGAGGGAAAAAATATATAGAAAACACTACTACTTATTGCTTAAAACCTAAATTAAGATTTGGGTGACATAACATTCCTATAGCAGTGAACGCTAACATCGTGATGTCTTAGCAATGCCACCACCAAGCCACATACATGGACAGTCTTTGTGTTGAGTCGTTCAATGGATTTCTTGATCACTTCTGGAAGGCACGGGGCACCACCCATGGCACCTGCGAATGGCGTCAATGTTTCAAGTTCGAATTCTGCATTGTTGTGCTACGTTGAGACACAATAGCGAAGACATTGGCTAATCTAGGCCACTCGTGGTTTTTCATACGCGCACTGCGTGAAGGTCATTTTATATATCGCCTCATTCAGGATATGTTCGTCTCGGCATGGTACTGCACACTTAAGCTAGGCAGCTGAACACAGTGGCTTTTAAGTAACTTGGAGGCGTAGCAGCACAAAGGCGTAATCGTTCTATAAACACCACTCTTAATTATCAGACGGTACTCGACGTGACGAAAATGAGGCAAATATTCATGTCGATTTATTTGTTTTTTTCAGCACATCATAGCCTTTCAAGCTCTTGCACCAAAGAACTCTAAAACTATATGATTGCACTTAAAGTTATAATGTAGTAACGTGGCATTATGACGCACGTGTATATATCTCCTTTTTACCTTTGCGAAGAGACGAAATGTCGTAATCTGCACTTAGATGTTTCAATATTTCTATGTACATAGTCGGCGTTCCGTATAGCACCGTGCACCTGCAGCAAGATAATAGAAACAAATACATGATCGACAACTTAGTCATTGCGATTTAAGACTTAACGATAACAACATTGCATTTACGTCACACACCCCTCTGACACTGGCTGTCCCTTCTTAAGTTTTATCACGCCTCTGCCAGGTATACACGTCCCGTCCCACGTTCACTTCCTCCTTTCGCAGCCGGTCTATTCCCTCTCCTTAAAGAAAAATTACATGCGACAACTCAGACATATCACGTTGAGCTGTAATTCAACAAAAAATTACCGTGTATGATATCATACTCGTTCCAGGAATCTGGGAGGGGAGGGGGAGAAGGCCGCGCAGACCAACGCCTGGCCAGACATTTAAAAAGAAAGGAAAGCTTGTTTCTTTGTTTCTTAATCTGATGCGCTAACTTGTTAATCTAAAGGACAGTAGTTAGATATCATGGCCCATATGATCTAAACGCACGTTTATACTGGATGCCTATTAGTTGACGTCGTGCACTGTATAAATGTCACGTTAATATAACCGCAAGCACAGTTGAGTGCACAGCGGTGTGCTCAGGTGCTCAGTACGAGGGTACGTTTCTCCCTACACATATGTTGAACGTCAGGGATACAATGAGAATTAGACTTGTTTTCGTTAGCTCAATATAAACATACGGTGGCTTTCATCTCTTTTATTGACAACATCGCTTCACGATGCGGGAATGTTAAAAAAAAAAGGGAACCTGTGATCCGTGACGGCTTGGAGGCCGGCGAACGCATTGAACACGGGCGATGGCATCACGACGGTAGAACCGAACACAACTGCTCCCATGGTGCCGATGACACAACCGAAGCAATGAATCATGGGTACGTTCAGGCAGATGATCTCGTGCTTGACAGAAAAAGGAAGTGCCAAATAAAAGATGGTAATATTGCGACGAGTGACAAGACCACGAAAAGTTGCACTGAAAACGTATTTTGATGGGTGAAGAAACGTATTACTATGTATACTTTCAATGGACAAAGAGTTAAGTATGTGGATTTTTATCATACACCTAGATGGGCTAGGAGGTGGAGGAGGAAGAACAGGCAGGAAGATCAGCCAGATGTGTGTCTAGTTTGTTACCCTACAGTCATGGGGAGAGATCAAACTAAAAAAAAAAAGGAAGATAGAAAAAGGTACCGTTAGAGTACATCTGCACCTGTCCGTTAGAACACTACAAGCTTATACACGCCGCTCAGCTCACCCACGCGGGTCAATATATAGTAATGATTGTTGCGGTTTAACGACCCAAAACCGCGATACGATCTAGAGCGATGCTGTAGTCGAGGGCTCCAAAACTTTCGGTTACCTGAGGTTATTTAACGTGCACTAAAGCTAAAGTACACGGGCCTCAAGTAGTCTCACCTTCCCGCGCGGATTTGCTTCCCGGCCGTGATGGCTGCGTTTAAGTACAGGTGAAATGCAAAAAAAAAAAAAAATCACTCGTGTATTTTTTGGGTTCGCGCTTAGGAACCCAACTCCGAGTGAAGCCGAAGTCCTCCAATATGGCAGTGCTCCAATACTCGCCGTAGACGGGTTAATAGACCGCTAAGCGCACAGCGGTCAGCTTAAGTCTCATCTGTGATCTCACGTAGCATGGAAAATAGACAGTCTAAAAACGACAGCAGACGCTATATCGTGCGCGCAGAGAAGGCTACGTTCCATTAGTCGTCGGTTATAACACGAAAGATGTATATGAAATGTCAATAATGCTTGTTTTTCCTAGCTTCTGTCTTATCGAAGCCAGGTGGCGTCATGTCACGCAGACGTCATCCAGACGCGTTGAATTTATTGGAGTAGTGGGGCTCGAAACTTTCGTCTAAGCAGCCATGCAATCAGCGCCGACCGTCTACCACGCGGCTCAGAATTGGAACACATCCTATAGGGTGCCTCATAAGAATACCGCGGTTTTGACATGCAATATTCTGGAATTAAATTTTGTTTAATTACTTCAGACGGGATCTATGGAGTGCTATAGACCCGCCGCGGTGGTCTAGTGGCTAAAGTACTCGGCTGCTGACCCACAGGTCCCGGAATCGAATTCCGGCTGCGGCGGTTGCATTTCCGATGGAGGTGGAAATGTTGTAGGCCCGTGTGCTCAGATTTGGGTGCACGTTAGAGAACCCCAGGTGGTCGGAATTTCCGGAGCCCTCCACTACGGCATCTCTCATAATCATATGATGGTTTTGGGACGTTAAACCCCACATATCAATCAATCAATTATGGAGTGCTATATGTGTTTTCTTTAGAACTTGCCTGTTCATGGAGTCCTAATCCACGTCCCATCGAATTAGCGTTGTTGACTATATTGAAGTGCGAAAGCAAAGCACCTTTAGGCTTTCCCGTGGTGCCCTGTGAAACAGTTGGAAAAAAAACTTGTGAAAAGGCATCTCGTATTTCGTAAATTAAGTTATATCTTCTGTGTTTTATTTAAACAATAATGAAAGTGAATGTGTATTGCATGTGGATGGACAAGGTAAAATGGTATTAAAGTCTTTCAGACCACGTTTAGCACCTAGCGGGTTTCCCCACGTCGGAATAGAAAGACCCAGTCTATCTGCTGCGTCACTGGCCTATTGGACTACCTATAGGCATATCTGCTGCGTCGCAGGCCCGTTGGACTAGTAAAGGACTATAGAAAAAGCAGCCTCCCATTTGAACGACGTGAAGATTTCGTTGCCGCGTAACCTCGAAAATTGTTTTTGAAGCGCTAGTGATTTGAGGTGGTGTAGAAAGCAAAGGCTTAGGACTTTACTCTAAACATATGAATAAGCAAATAAACAAGGCATTCAAGATGTCACTCTTACGTCTGCTACAAATCCACAATAGACATTGCGAAGTAAAAGCTTTCACTCACGGAGGTAAATTGCACGTTAACAGGAGCATCGAAGCCGATTTTGGATGCTATCTTCTCAGCGGCGGCATAATCTTTTTTGGTTGTTTGGGCCAGAAGATCGTCGTACCTTAGTGTACCCCTGCATAAAATAAGATGCGTTATATATTACATAACATGTCGGTTGCTTTCTCAGCCTGCCAAAAAAAATAAATAAATTATGCCCCCTCATCACATTTGACCTGAATATACAACGTGGATGTTGTTACGATTACTTCACGTTCGTAAACGAGGGTAACATAGCAGTTCCTGATATTTCATTACACAATCAATGAGCGGAAAACCAGCGCCGAAAAGATAACATATATGTTCGCATAAACTGCAAAGTACATGCTATCACCGGGAGAACGGCGTTAAGTGGCCTGAACACATGTACCACGAGATCGGATCACACAAGTTCAGTGTACTTATTATAAGGAACATAAGGCAAACAAACAAAAAAGCTATTTATTCAAACTCGGCTCTAAGGAAATGAAATACGGAGTAGCAGCTAATGTAGAAGTCGTAGGAAATGTGGAGTATTTATTTGCATGCCCTTAAAGCGACGCTGGCGTTGCGAACGGCCAGCCTACCAAGCGCCCATGACCGCAAAGGAAACCTTCCCACGTGATGCAGCAGCACATTCTCTCCTCCTCTTTTTCCTTCTTCGATCCCTCCTCTTCACCTTCACTTCCCTTTCCCCTTCCTTGCTATACTGTAGTATAGGCGACTTGCTATTACTTACCCCACCTTCCTCCTTTCGCTCATCCTCACATCTCTCCTCCTCAGCATCACTTCTTTGTCCCCTCTGCTATACTATACACGGCTACGTTATGTCTATCCTCCGGTCCGCCACCTCAGATCTCTCCTTCTCACCCTGACATACCTTTCGCACAGCTGCCTATACGATACTAAACTTGGCTATGTTATGCTTAACCCTCTCCACTTCACACCCTCAAGTCTCCATTCATAGCATAGCCACGTATTGTACACATGACTATGCTATGCGTGGTTTTACCAGCGTGATATCGAGAGACGACAAGAAATGACCGCATTGATTGATTGATTTCTATGAATGGTTTAACGTCCAGAAACCACCATACGATCATGAGAGACGCCGTAGTAGAAGGCTCCTGAGATTTCGACCACCTGGGGTTCTTTAACGTGCACCCAAATCTGAGCACACGGGCCTACAGCATCTTCGCCTCCATCAAAAATGCAGCCGACGCAGCCGGGATTCCTTCCAACGACCTACGGATCAGCAGCCGAGTATCTCTGCCACTTGAACACAGCGGCGGGGGAGATGACAGCAGATGGCATCAGACGACGGCCCGACTCCCTCAAGTGCTCCCGCGCTTGAGACTTTATGGTTTATCATTTGAAAGTGAAGGTGATCAGTAGAACGTTGTACTTACGGCTTTGTCTCATCTCCTAGTAAAATAAGGTGTTTTAAGCGGGGAAGCCTGAAAAAAAAAAACCATTGCTTCGATTTAAAAATGTTAACTTCCAAGAAATACAATAAGATGTCGTCTCACGTGAAAATTTGTCGGAGACTTTTGGACAAAGACGTACTTCTCACTAAAGTATGTTCAACGAATGTCAGAGTGACAAAAACTGGGGCGGTAATATAAAATTCTAACCACCGCGCTGACTCGAACCTAAAATTTATTCCGAAATGAAGTGCAATGAATGAAATCTGGAAAAGCTAAGAAAAAAAAAACATCGCACATGCTCAATGTGACAAAACACAACAAAAGGATAAGTGGCTGGTGAGAGGTTCAAGCTCTCTGTGAGGATGCCACATAGCCTTTTGTTGGGTCACATTGAGCATGTGTGATGGTTCTTTTTTTTCTTAGCTTTTCCAGATTTCATTTATTCCACTTCATTTTAGAATAATTTTTAGTTGTGAGTAAGCGTCTTTTCTATTCACGTGCCCGTCTTTTTCGTGCTAATATTCGTTCAAGATGGAAGCACACCAACTCACCAAATTGAATACATTCTGATTCTCACTAGCAGTTGGGTCTTCATAATTCATAGGGACAAAACTGCTAAGAGTGAGATCGTGAGCCCAATTGCTTGCTGCAGTATTTCTAAGGGGCAAAATGCGAAAACGAGTGCATGCTGTGCATCGAGTGTACGTTAAGTATCCCAAGTGGATCATAATGAATAGAGAGAACACCCCGTGCAGCGTGCCTGATTATCGTATCATTGTTCTGGTACACAATAACTCTGAAGTCATCATCCAGAAAGGTGTCGAAATATCGCTTCGCCTTTTTGTATTGTAAGCTGGAATTCCTAGCTCGTTATTATTATTCAATTACGTCATTATACCTACACTCGGCGCCCGAGCTTCACATGTACATAATAAAGGGGGTCCACATTATGCACGATTGTTCTAAACACGATGTTATACATTACTACTTTCTGGAAGAGTTGATTCATAATTGAATGTAATGTAATAATACAAAGTGTGGCAAAAGCGCACACCGCATACAAACGCAGACAAACAGCTGTGTTCAATAACGAAAAGACAGCTTTTATGAATGACGAAGTGAAGCATTGGAACTACATATAGCTCCAATGTTTCACTTCGCCATTTATGAAGGAGTATGTCCAAAATGTGTGTCACACACTAGCGCTTGTGGGCGTGGCATCTGTTCCGTGAACATTTGTTCGTGCCGTTACTTTGCATTTAAAAAAAGAAACTATGAATGAACGTATCCCGCATTCTTGTTTACCTCGCACACTTGAGTTCACCTGGCTTGCACCGCTCGAGTTCAGGTGCAATCTGCAGCATCATGTCGTAGTACTCCTGGCGGGCGAACTTCTCCGAAACGATTAGCGCTTCGCAGTCCACCTGTCGCATCGTTTTAGTTAGAACATACTTGCCTGCCTATAGTTACAGGTGTTCGTAGAAAAATTCAGTGTTGTAGACTGGCTAAAATCAATCAATGTTCAATGAAATGCTCACCGATACATTACGTGTAAACGTGCAGCAAACAAGGACGCAAGGTTAAAAGGTGTGTAACAAAAGGAAAACTCATGAGAAACTCACAAGCTTTAGGCAGTACTCCAATTCTTGGACCTGGTACAAGGTGTTGACGTTTACCTGCGTGAAGAATCTGCGTGAAGAATCTTACCGATTAACGTAAGCGTTTGGGCGAGTCGGTAATTCATCGTTCAGAACGTTTCAACAGCTTGGGAAAAACATGAATATACGAAAGGAGAGCTGCTCTCTTTCATGCGCTCGTGTTTTTTTTTTTTCGCACTGTTGAAAACTTTTCTGTACGAAGAAAATGGTAAATAGAAGCGCTATCACGGCGAATGCTGTTTTTTTTTCATCATATTACTTGTCAGTAAGTGGACTGTATTGGCACTTTACTACGTCAGGCTATCAGATCTATATATGTCAGTGCTGAGGTAGGGTTTGAAGTGTGGCATTCCCTGGTATCATTGTTTGTTGAATATTTACCTCTATCGTCCGTTTTATTTTACACACACACATATATATAGTATACGGCAGGCGTGTAAAAAATACAGCCGAGATGGTGCTGTAGCATCACTTGACAGAACAAGCGTGATGCTGCTGCAGAGACAATGTGGCGTTCTATTCCTACCTATGAGGTTGCCACAAAAATATCTAATTACCTACCTAGCTAAGTAATTATCCAACTAACGAACTAACTAACTTAGTAACTAACTCACTAAATAATCAACCGACTAACTAAATAAATAATAAGATTGACGACGACGCTCACCCCATGCGGGACACAAGTTGGGGGTCAACGGTCCACGACATTCAACTTCACTAACGAAGCCTAACTTGGAGATCAGCAACGCAGCGCGCAAGGACATAACAAGCGAATAGAACCGTGGGCAAAGCGTAGTCGCGAAACACGGTCCCCTCCAGTCAAAAAACGCAGACATTTCTTCGCAGTGACGGTGCATTGCAGGACTCACAAGAACGAGGCCAGCCTTGGCCGTCGCAAATTGCACGACGGGCCACTCGTACATGTTAGACGCCAAGATGCCAATCATGGCTCCCGGTGGGAGTCCGAGGGAGACCAGTGCGGCCGCTAGGTGATCGACCTGCACAAAAAGAAATGAAAGAAAAAACTTGTGACGAACGCTTCCCCCCCTCCCCTCGCGTTGAAAGACAAGAGAGTGACTTCCTCCTCACATTTGCCCCATTGCACTTTCAATGTATTCTCCCCGCCACATTTTTTTTTTCTTAAAAGCACATGAGCAATGTCAGCACAAAGTTCTCGAGCCTATCAGGATTTTGTGCTTCTCGGCCACACGCTGTCATCGCAGCTTGCGCAATCGTTAAAACACAAAATGAAGTGAACTCACTGCCGCGAAAATTTTTTCAGAATCCATCCAGTATGAGCGGAGTTACAAATATCTGTCGCACGCTGCAATCGCATTCTCTCTTCTCTTGTCCTCGAAGAAAGTGCTGTAAGCCTAAGCTAAGCAGGAATGGATGGCACGGGAAAAGAAAATACGTCACACGCGCCTTGTGACGTTGAGTATTTCTCTCTTTTTTTGTTGTTTTCTTGTCTTCATATTCGTGGCATTTCAGTGTGATCGCGCGTGCGGGCGAGGGCAAGTCGCGGCCTCCCTTGGTGGTCTCAGTGACAATCGAGCGTGTGATGCTCAAATCAGCCAATAGCTGATACAATGGCTGTGACGAGTGATTTTGTAGCTTGTAGCATCATTTGTCGAGAGAGGGAAAAGCAAGTTTTAGCTAACTTTCAGAATTTCTCGTGAATTCCAGGCCACGTGCTGCGCTATAACAATTGGCTTGCGTGTGCTAGGGGGCTTCTGCTACTGCCGATCGGCAGCGTTTTCTGACCACGCTCAAAAAGGTTTGCCGGGCCCCTTTAAAGGGAAAAGTAACGCTGTCATCTTGGAGGTTCAGTCGTCTTCAATTGAGTGGTGCGTCCGCGTTTCTGGATGTGCCGTCACTTTCAGGGAAGGGCATTTGGTATCTCATAATAGTTTCGTGAATTACCAAATAAAAACTTCGCATAAACTTTACGTCTACCTTATAAAAGCTTTAAAAACTAACGAATAAAACTTTACGAATTGACTTTACAAACACAGGGACGTGTTGTATACTAGCGGACGTGAGATTGCTCATACCAGCGGCGCCCAGTCCACCGGAAAAACAAGCAAACAGATGTATTGTTCTGCATACAGTATTGCCCCGCCGCGGTGGTCTAGTGGCTAAGGTACTCGGCTACTGACCCGCAGGTCACGGGTTCGAATCCCGGCTGCGGCGGCTGCATTTCCGATGGAGGCGGAAATGTTGTAGGCCCGTGTGCTCAGATTTGGGTGCACGTTAAAGAACCCCAGGTGGTCGAAATTTCCGGAGCCCTCCACTACGGCGTCTCTCATAATCATATGGTGGTTTTGGGACGTTAAACCCCACATATCAATCAAATCAATCAAATCTGCATACAGTATTCTCGAATCTACTCGCAATACGTAAAATTAATATCGCATATAAGAGATGGGGTTGTTTTCTGATAGCGAGCCGTCCCGCTCTCGCAGCTGCGCCATTTGACAGCAGAAACACACGACGGTGTGCAGCTGCTGCTGGCGAACAGCTAGACCGGATATTCGAGTTCTAGTTGACTTTCGCATCGAATGAGTCTCACTGGCGCTTATCTGACAAAGGCGCACAATACGCGACTGCCTAGTGTGTCGTTACAAATGAAACCTCCTTTCGTACCGGTAAAATCATTCGTGTTACAGTGAACGTGAGGGCGGGAGACCGTACACTCTCACACACAAAAAAATTGCAATTGATCAGATACAAGCAGACTGTTACAGCAAAAACTGCGATGTGGGATTTGTAAATATATCAAGGTCGGGGTGGAGTGAATTGTACTTGCTACCTCAACGCAGCGCCCTTAATGAACATTTAAAACTGCCAGCAATATAGACGTACGCATATGTATGCCTATTAGTTTAGGCTTTAGGCTTGATTAGGGTAACCAAGGTTACGTTAAGTTGCTAGAACCACGATTCAGAGCATGGTTCAAAACTTCAGTCTCTCTGAAGGCGCATGCTGCACCCATGCTGCACCCTGCCGATATTTATTCTTCAAGTGCGCACATCAGAATCGCACCTCTGCCGGCATTCTCCTGGCATTACTCTGCGGGTGAATATTGGGTTCGTACATATATGGTGTGGCCGGTAAACGGTTGTGCTGCATGAGCAGTACAACCATTTACTGCAGTACAGCACATAGAAGGGCTTACGAGCCGTCTAGTTTGTCAAGATAGCGCGCGTGCCAAGCGCTTAAAGTGTGATAAAAGTGAGCATATTTTGTTCGAGAGACGCAAGCAGTGTCGCTCGGCGTTCGCGTTACAAGATGAGTTCAGACTCAGCTTCAAGCACGCCTTGGAATTTTTCGCGATAAGGTTCTTTCTGAAAGCCTGCCTATGGTACACAGGACACAGCTCTTCCGTTATGATGAGTTGTTCATGCTGAAAATCTCACATGTGCCCCAAACCTCAAACAATTTTTTTCCCTCTCTCTCTGTCTGTTGCACACGAGCGCGCGATGGACGAAGTGTCTGTTCTCATTTAAGAGCACATGGTTTTGCGCCGATGGGTGAGCCGCGAAATAAGGGCGAATCTAGTGGATACCCGTGTTTGTCTCACATGCTTAGTGCGAAATGTTGTTAGGAAGTAAAACAAACAAACAAACAAGAAAAACAAACAAAAAAGAATGAGGGCAGGTCGAGTTGCCTCGTACTCGAAAATTCCGGAATAGATTAGCGCAAACGACATTCTTGATTACTGTGAATGCTCACTTTTGAGCCGTAACTTCATTTTTTTCGCTTTAGTTCCCGCATTTTGTGCTAAAACTCGTGCTGAGGTTATAATACGCCTTGCGATACCACCCTCTCTTTTTATGTGATAATTCTTTTTTTTTGTAAGATTGTCTGTCTTCTCTGTATTGAAATGACTGTATTAGCTACGGATGGTTAGCAATGGTAATGGTCAACGCACTGAAATCTGGCTACAGGTGGGTTTTTGCACGAGTAAGTTTATTCCTTTCTTAATGAAATAACTACGCACGGGTGCAGCTTGTTAAAAATATAGTTGGGGTGTAGAATATTTACGTATAATGACTTCACATACAAGGATATCCTCAGGTAAAAAATATTGCTCAACATTTGAGGAGCGCAAACTTCAGGCGAGGGGGGTGAACGGTACATCTATATCTTTATGGTCAAGGTCCTTTTTGACTTAACGAAGCCGTCATCAAAGTTGTTCACTCTGACGACTGTAATTGTAAACGTATATTGCTTCTCACTTCAACATGTCCTACCAGTGTACTTGTTCAGAAATTTATCTATTTTAATCGTTGCTCAACCTTTCGATGATCTCACTATTAATAATATTGAGACAGCTGTGGATAACATGTTCTTGTCATGTTTGCTGCCTTTTTTTTCTAGTTCGCAGGAGAGTTACGGCAAATACATGTTTTGCTAAATAGGTTTCTGTCAAGCTGCATGCGCCTGGTATTTGATGAGGCTCAGCAAATTTTGCGTCGGCTACAAGTTCATTTATTTGACGCCAGACCACGTGGCTGCATTACAGTCAGATCATATTTTGGCTATTTTATTTTATCTAAAAGCTGCGCAACAGCGAGTGCGCTAAACATTATTTGAAGGTATACGTGATTCCTGGTCGACATTTCTAATCTTTAATATGAGCCGAATCGACTTAATGAAATCATGAGCTCTCTCGAGCGAAAATCACGGTACCATGATGAGATGGAACTTATTGGAAACTTTTAGGGCACTTTGGTGATCTGGGTTTTTTTACACAGCTGGATGAAACGTTTGATTGATGCGAAGCCAAATCTGAAAAAAAAAACTCCCTTTTCCCATCGCCCATTTGAAGGCATTTCTCAATAAAAAGTAAGCGCCTATCAAGACACGGCTGAGAACGGTTTATTAGAATCTGAATTGAATAACAAAATGCAATATAATATAACATAGTATAATATACTGTGATATACTTTAATATACATTATTATTTTTTTCATGGTACTAGCATGCCTGGTGCCAATATTTGCAGAAGCCGTTTGCATTCAAATTTTGAAGTTATATGTTATGACGTCGGAGACAGTATTCTGAAGTATTAAGTCAAAGATCGCACTGCCTCTAAATGCCGGCATAAAGTCAGTGGTGGTTGAGCGGACAAAAAACGGCCGCCTGCAGAATCTAGTCCAAAGAACATAAGCATGATTACCATACTTAAACACTGCTGAATCGATTTATAACCGCGGGTTCCTGTTTCATAATCTTAAAATCATTACAAGATTTGTGTTTCTGAAGACCAAATATAGGTAGGCCCGTGTGCTCAGATTTGGGTGCACGTTAAAAACCCCAGGTGGTCTAAATTTCCGGATCCCTCCACTACGGCGTCTCTCATAATCATATAGTGGTTTTGGGACGTTAAACCCCACATATCAATCAAATATGTGCCTATCTTACACTAATCCAAAACTACGACGTCATACCTCAAGGCCGAAAATGTTGCTGACGTTCGGTCATGCGCAAATTAAAATTCCAGCTACAATGCGACCTCATTCCTTGCTCAGTCACATATACCCCGGTGCACACTTTTTGGGGCCAGAGAACCGCAATATCAAGCTTTTTTTTTTCTGTGACGCAAGCAAGGGATACTTATTTGCAGACTAGTTGGTTTATACTTAAAACCTCGACTTGTTGCAAAAGCAGGGTGAGCAAAGAAAGGAGAAGGACGCAGTTACTGTGCGATTTCCTGTCTTTCTTCTTTTTTTTTCCTTCTTGCCCAGCATGTCGAGTTTTTAGGCAAGAGTGTTGAGTGGTATAGACCTGTTCGCAATAGTTCATAACCACGATGTGAATTATTTCAAGGCTCTCTTCAAGGAACTCAGCTAACCTCCCGATATATATTCTTGAGGTTAAATAAAAGAATTGTACGTTGGCGTACTGAACACTGATGTAAGGGTCGGCCAGCAGCCCAACCAAAAGCTCAAGTCATGGACTCTAGGCACGAGTGGCATCCACGAACAAGGCATTGTAGAAACCCACTAGAAAGCACTTGAGAAAAAGACCCACAACAGCGCTATTCACTACAAAATAAATAAATTTATAAATGCACTTGAAAGCTTACGTAAACCCGTCCACTTACATCACGCTTGAACTGCACGTATGTCTTGGAGATCCCTTGGTGACAGGACACCACCGCCACGTTGTCCCCCATGGTGTCGGCCGCCCTGTCGAGCACCTGGCCCATGGTCAGTGGCAGCAATGGAACTTCACTCGCCGCGTGGTAGTAGCTGAGTCGAGACGCCTCGCGCCTGATGGTGGGCAGTGTTATTTAGCCTTGCATGTGACTACGTCGCCAACACAAAAATAAACGCGAACCTTTACCTCCTATTGCACGCAAACATTACCCCCAAGATCTGCAGCGACAATCGAGGGCCGTGCAGCAAGGCGGGAGTATTCATACATTTTTTTAATCCCTCAATAGGGCTCAGGCACTCTTCTGCTTTTACACAAGAATATGTATCCTATAACTGTTGCCTCTTAGACACGATCTATTCAGGTACTTCTACCGGCAATTATCCCTCTTCTGGAGAAACATCCACTTAAGATCAGAGACTCTGACGGTGTGCCCGGTCGCATTTTGCAATCTGTTAGAGCTCGACCAGGTGGAACGAGGCTCTTCCCAGCACTCTTCTGGTCGACCATCTTTGGGCTGTTCAGCGGCCACATGACGAAGCCAGGAGCTTTGCCTTCTTAGGGGGTGGCCAGCTGTCTACTGAGACACGCTCCGCAGGACACCATACCGTATCGTACCACACCATACTATACCGTACTATACTATACCGTACCATACCATACCACTACTTATTATTTGATTTGCATACACAAATATACAAGGACACAGAGAAAATATAGAGATAGCAAGCTGACAACCCCTACCCGGACGAGCTGAGTGTCTCCTTACTCTTTCGAGGGTAGGTGGAGAAAATAAATATATAAGGAGAGAAAAAGTAAATATGAGAGAAAAGTAATGAAAACAAAATACGAGGATTTAGACAGACATAAGAAAACACGAAAAAAATGTCTCAAACGGGCGGCCAGGTGCGTTTGCTGCATAAATGTGAGTAGAGCTCAATTGCCCTGGTAACTTCCAAAAACACAATTTCTCAGGAAGAGATAATCGTCTATTGTTGCGCACTTAAATCACAAGAATTTATGTTCCTGAATCAGCAAAGCTCGCTGTGTAGCAATTGTGGAGCAGTGCACTACAAGATGTTCAATTGTTCCGCAGGAGCCGTGTTATATTATATCACAAAATTCTTGCGGCTGACTCTAGAAGAACCATACGCTAGTTGCATATAAACCATCGTGAAGGTGCAACTAAACACATCACACAGGAAGAGACAGACGAGGACAGGATTGCGCCTGCCCTCGTGTCTCTTCCCGTGTGTTGTGTTTAGTTGCGCCCTCACGATGGTTTCTATGTCAAAGCACCGACTTGCCCTACCGCACCACATCTTTTGAAGTTCATACGCTAATGGCAGCAGAAAACGGCATTCGAAACTATTTCGTTTGCATAAGGGAGTTAACCTTGTGTCGAACTGAAGCAAGGTGAACAGGAGAACCGAGAAACGTCATCCCTGCGCCGAACACGCAGTGCAGTCACAGCGTCAACTGAGGAAGTAGCCTTAAAGCTGGTTGTAAACTCTATTTGTGCACCTAATACACTTGGGATCTACTCACTGGGTCACAATTGCTACGAGCGAAGTGCGAACCAAGTACGTGTCTGCGTTCACGACAACACATAGTTTGTTGCGATGATCAGTGGACACCTTTTTCGATTCTTGTCCTCGCCTGCTTCCCGCTAATTCAAGTCGTACTCACAGTATTCGCCACTTAAATCCTCATCAAGCAGTGCAGCGCTAGTGAAAGAGGTGAACACCACACAAGACGACGTGTTCTCCACATGTGTAATTGTGCGTGCTCTTTTTCTTGTCGTTCGTGCCATAACAGACATCGAATAATAAAGAACCATCTAGTTCCTGACAACCTGCTTAAGCTTATGAGGCGTAAAGCGCGTTGTCGAGAAAACGCCTCTCTCACTTATTGAGGCTCAACTTTTTTGCATCACGCACAGCATGATTGTAACTGTCGGCGCTGCCCCAACAGCAAACCAAGACATAAAAAAAGCACGCCTCAAATGTGAAGCCGTAATATATCAAAAGTTTCTCTCAATCTACCGCCGACTTCTAATTGTGACACCGAGGCCTATATCAACATTACCGATGACATTGCATCTCACAAACAACATGATCCCGGCCATATTTTTCGGAAAACATGCGGAGATGAAGTAAAACTCACCGCTGAACGTGACGAATCGTTAAATGATACCGCGGGCTGCGTTGCGACACGGCGAGTGATGTGGCCCCTGCAGCCCGCCGGAAACAGCGTTGAAGCATCACGTTGTATAGGCGGTGCGCGTTGGCGTCCCAATCTATACAACACGCCGCGGCAATGGCGCTAACGGGCAATTGCAACGCAAGGCGCGGTGCCTGGAAAGCGAGATTAAATGCAGGTTTACGGGAGGGCAATATTGTTGCGAAGGCCATTGGAGGAGCAAAGTGTGCGACGTTTGTAGTAACAGCTGTCCCCGTCGCTGATGCGATTCCCAATTTTCGTCTTTTCTCTTTGCCGCACATGACACCTCGCTGGTAAACGTTGCTGCGTTTTTTCATCTATTTCCTCCGTTTCGCTTGATTTTTCAGACAATTTTGTACGCGCTGGAAAAGTGCGTCATTGGCCGGGGCGTCGCTAAGTTTCGATAGAGCGTGGGTCGTTTGAAAAAAAAAGCAAAAAAAATGGCCCCGTATCTGCATGTTACACCGCAAATGTCGTCGAAAGACGACAGTCTAGCGTCTGGAGAGAGTGAAAAAAACGTTTATTTGATGCTCTGCGCAAGCAAATCGGTGAATTGTATTCTGGAGGCGCTGCGTTAGGAAGGAAGGAAGTATGTTCATTTACAGAAAGGCAGAGAGGTCGGCCTGAGCGATAGTTTGCTCTAGCCTGCTACTCCACACTGGGGGAAGGGAAAGGGGAAAAGAAAGATTAATGGATGACGATGGTGAGATAGAGAGGTGAGTATGTAGTGTTCTTTCTAGCTGAGACACATTTTAGAGCCGCGCACATAGTCCAGTTGTTTCTAAAAAGGTAATAACTGCTCTTGTGACCGCAGTTGCACTGATGGTGTCTGGCCAAGGGCCCAACATTGTCTCATCAGTTAATGACCTACTGCGATATTGTTCAGTAGAAGAAATCAGTGTTTGTCGTTCACGTGCGTATGCTGGGCAGACACAAAATATGTGCTCAAATGTTTCTGGCACATCCCAGTGTTCACAATTAGGACCGGTGTCACTGCGACCGATGATATGTGCGTAACGTCTAGTGTACGCTACACCAAGACGAATGCGGTGGATCATACTTGTGAGTTGCCGTTTCAATTTAGGAGGCAAGCGGAACCTCATTTCCGGGTCCCATTTGTGAAGTCGCTGGTGTCGCCGTTCCGGTTTGGTCCAGAACTGAAGTGTGTAGCTGCGCATCACGCAGCGAAGCAGGGCGTTCGTGTCAGCTCGTGAAAACGCAATGCGTACTTCAGGGGCACTGCTTAAGGCATTTTTAGCTTGAGCGTCTGCCTTTTCGTTTCCCATCACGCCGCAATGAGCGGGAATCCACTGGAAAGAGGTAAGATGGCCATCTGTTGAAGCAACCTGAATAAGTTCTGTGATTTCTATTGCCAAGCTGTAATATGGACCTTGCTTCATGATGCAATTAATGGTTTGCAAAGCGGGTTTGGCATCACAGAAAATCGTCCAGGCTCGAGGTCGCTCTCCGGAAATAAACCTTATTGCCTCTCGGATAGCGACAAGCTCTGCGGCAGTTGATGTGGTTTTATGGTCTACTTTGAATCGTCGAGCGATATCCATGTCTGGGATGACAAAGGCTGCGGCGGAGGTGTTTAGCGTGGTGGAGCCGTCGGTGTACACGTGCAGAGAATCACTGTACGTTGTATAAATGTGATATAGGGTCAGTTGTCTGAGGCCAACAGAAGAAATGAGCGACTTCTTCGTAATTCCAGGTATCGTAAAAGAGATAGGTGGTTTAGGCAGAACCCATGGTGGCACTGCAGGAGCATTTGGCGGAGAAAACCTTGATGGTATAATATTTTTATGCCGCAATATTAGTTTTGAGAAACTGCAATCTGGGTGAGTGGCGGGTAGTACTGACAGTGGGTGCTGTCTGTGTCTGCTCAGTAATCGGAGGTGAACTCTAAGTGGCTCGCAGAGCATGTATACACTGATGGGACAAGCCCGAGCCTCTGCGATTGTCCCATTTGTTGAAGTGCAGCGTGGTAGACCCAAGCATCTTCGTAAGCATTGAGCTTGAACACTCTTGAGTGTCTTCACACAACTAGGTCTCATATTGGAAAGCACCGGCATGCTGTATCGAATGTATCCCACAAATAGAGCATTGTACAATCGAAGTAGCGATGATTCTGACGGGCCCCACCTTGCTCCTGCTACGTGGCGAAGAATGAGAGCAAAGCTCTTCAATTTAGATTTAAGTACGGCGACATGCCTCGTCCACGATAGATCTCTGTGTACGACAACCCCAAGGAACTTGTGGTGCGTTACAGCAGGTATCACTGTCCCATTAATAAATATCGGGTATTGCGACATATGCTTGCGCGTGAACGCAAGCACTGCGCATTTGTCGATTGAAAGAGTGAGCCCCTGAGGTCGTAGATATTTGTATGTGATCGTCACTGCACGCTATAGTCGAGCTCGCAATTGTGGACGAGTAGTTCCGGATGCCCATATGCATATGTCATCAGCGTATGCAGTGATCTTCACCGTGCTGGGAAGTTCTGCTGCTAGGCCGATCATTGTGACATTGAATAGGATCGGGCTGAGAACTCCTCCTTGGGGAACACCTCGATGAACCTTATATCGATCGGTGTCTCCGTTACTTGTCGTCATGTAAATGGTGCGGTCCCTAAAGTAGAGTGCCTAAAGCGTGCAGCGGAGGCGAACGAGCGCATCAAGTTACGTCACACGTGAGACACGAGCGCTATCTGTCAGTTATTCTGGAAAAGGGGGACGCGCCGTGCACACCCGTCTCTGAGGGGATAAGGTGTAGAACGCAAGGCGACGGGTAGGTGCCACCACCGTGTCGTCTTAGCAAAGCGTTGGAAACACTTGCCGTTTCGTGCAAGCGTTGCATGGCCAGCGCAGCGTTATAAAGGCTATGGTCCTTAAAATCACTTATGTATGCTTTTTCAAGTAAAATATACACATACATAATATTGACGTGTTGTTATGGCGGCTCATATATGCGCAATACTTGTTTTTTTTAATTGAATTTGGCATAAGTTTGAACGCTGAACCTTGAGCAATATTGGTGGGCGCTGAGGATGGGTTCGGGCGTTTGGAGTATTGTTTGGTCACTTTGATGCCGTTTAGGGTACCGTTAAAGGTGGACAAACGGACAAATGCACAGATAGACAGACCAAATCTTTTGCGTCGAAGGTCGCCAAGAAAGACTATCGTCCTTAAAAAAAATATTCATTTACAAACCGTGAAGACAATCTGAAAGTGAAGTCGTAAGCGCGTGAATGAACGTGATTGGCTGGCGAGATAACGTGCGTTGTCATCATAATTTATCATTAACATCTACACCATTTATAGCTTAATCATCATCATATTTTTATCTTAATTTTGTTCAGTCTCTCGCTGGTCACGAGACTTGCGTGATGTCCCCCATTTCTATACTGTATTGCAACTACTATACTACTACTACTACTGCTACTGCTGCTGTTATACTGCAAGTGCTACGACGACGACGAGAAGGACTCAGGGAACACTAAGACACCTCCGCTGTAAAAAAAGTTTTCCTAAAAATGGTCTGTGACACCAATACGGATATCATATTCGAAACATGAAATCGGATCCACTCCGTCTTTATGGCAAAAAAACACATGTACCTCAGCAGATGTTGGCCTTGAAAAGCTTGCGTGCGGTACAGAAACTACCAGATAGAGATTCTTGGGATGATAGAGGGTGAATAATGTGGTTAAGGGATGCAGTAAAATTATCTCAGGTGAGGGCATCACAACCGCGACACTTGTGGGGGATGGGGAAAAGAGGTAGAGATAGCATTAAAGGAGAGTAGGTGGCTTGGGAGCCTAAACATGACACTGAAGCACTAAAAAAAGAAAAGAAATTCCTCACCGTTAGTGCCAGGTTTAACAGCGTAGTTTAGAGGTGGTCGGTCTCGACGTAGGCGGACGATCTATATGCATAACCTCAATGTAGTAAATAACTGCGCGGAGAGCCACTGGCAAAATGGGAGGGCGAAGCTTGGTTTATTTTTCTCGCGTCAACATGTGACATCATGCTGGCGATACGGATTGACGAAATTTGTCACGTTATCATGACATATGACCACGTCGCCGCATGATTCGTTGCTTGATAAAAGGTGGGCCCATCTCAGAGTCAGTGTGAGGCCACTTGGGGGCCAAAAAGCTTAAAGAAAAAAGGGGGGTTAAGGGGGGGGGAGCAATACAACGGGTTGGTAATAACACTATAGCAAAGGCTCAATGAAAGGAGAAGGAAATTTAATAAAAAATTTGGGCATGGAAGCTAAAAAAGGTTTTAGCTTTCATGCCTCATAAAAAAAAACAATGGTCCCAGCCACGGCAATCTTTTCTGGTTTTGAGTGTGTTTGAAAATTTGAAAATTCATGTTCAACAAAATATTGAGTTTCAAATGCAAAAATTTAACTAACAATGATTGCGCATGTGTGGAGATATTTGCTTGTACATTCTATTTTATCAATGTGTCATTATGTGCATGTTCGCTTATATATGAAACCATTTCGTTCCTCATCTGACGCCTGTAATAAAGTTTTGCTCATCACGTGTAAGCTGAGTCAAGTCGCTAAATGTGTGATTGAGGAAGTGTCCCCGGCACCAAAACAACGAAATGATTAGAGGCCACACGATATAGTAGGACACACAGAACGAATATTAACTTCACAACTTCCGCTGTACCCTACTTGACAGACTGCGTATGACGCCTTAAAATACTGAGCAACGTAAAATTTCACTTAAAGTCTTTTGTATCATTTTTATATGCCAAAGTAAAGTTCTTTTCACAGATGAACTATTTGCATAGAATACATCTCTCTGCTAATAAATTATATGTCAAATAACATATACTACTTGAAATATATTTCAAAATACATTCCACTATTTTCCTTCTACAAATGTAGGCATAACATCAATATTTTTTTTTCTTCAGTGGAGCTGTGCTTCGGAAATACTGGGTTGTATCATATCAACTACCTTATCATGCACACAAACCTTAGCGCTTATCACACTCATCCATATGTGGTCACTTTGACCTGGAAGCAGAGCCAAGATCTTGTGCATTGTAGGTGCAACGCCATAGTCACTAATCACCCTCGATGGTTCTTGGTTCGTTCCGTTAAGCTGGATACAGAATGTTCATATCGCGTGCACACAGACACACAGAAAACAAAACGAAACTGGCAGTAATGCGAGCATTTACATTTTTATTTTTATTGCAGTCATGCGTTATAAAACCAAGATCACTCCGAAAATCACCATGTCGAAATATAAACATGCCAAATCCTAATAAAAGATCTGTACAATAGGAAAAAGTAAATTTATGAGAACGAGCCGAAGTGAATCATAACTTGAGCATCTGGCAGCTTCTTTCTCGTATGGCGAACTTTTGGACTTTCCCAGACAGCGTCTTCGGGAACGTATCGACGAAAAAGATGTACCTTGGAATCTTGAAGTGACTCAGCTGAAAAGAAATCAAAACAGCCCCAGGTGAGACTTGCCTTTTTATGCTTTTTGTTTGAATGGGGTTGACACACAAACAAGCTGAAAAAAATTTCGACCAGCTCCGCTTCGTGGACATCAATGAAACAGGTGGCGGGTCCTTCGCCAGGCTGCCGCATTTTTATGTTTTGAACGTCTTCCGGATGTGCTGTATCACTGCTCTTTAATAAACACGCTTTGAAAAGTTTTGAGGTGGTAGCATAGATCTATGGTATCTTGACCGTACCACTCTTATCAGCGCCTCTCTTATACACAGGTTTTCAAAGATGCCCCTGTTTAAGATGCCCCGAAATGTATCCCTTCTCTATTTTAAACATACCTTTGTTAAGGTTTAAGGTGGTAGTATAGATACCATTTTTAAAACTGCAACTGTCACGTGACAGTGGTGTCACTATGGTAACACGAACGCCATTTTTCGGACTTGCTGTTGCCGTCTAACCTTTTTGTGGAAGTTGCGGGTAATGAATTTGCCCAATTTTTGTAGCACATACTCGTTTATGATGATAATAGTTTTCTGACAGGCCACACGAATTTCTGCTGCACACACCCGTTTGTTGGGATAACTGTTGCCATCTTTTTTAATGAAGCAGTAGCGGTGAGGTGCGCATTTCAGCACATTCTGTGGCAGTGCGACGACTTGCGCGAGGGCTCAGGGTCTCCCTCTACGGAGGAAGACTGGCTCCAGCCCATCACCAGCTCCGCAAAGGACTAGCAGGGCTGTCCAGAGAGCCCGCGAAGACGCCGAGAGGCTGGACCTTCTGGTGCCATCATGGGTGCGGCCCGCAAATGGTACCCCCTGACGAGGGCACTCTCGTCTCCTCAGGACCCAATAAAGTTCTCCGACCGACCGACCGACCGACCGACCGACCGACCGACCGACCGACCGACCGACCGACCGACCGACCGACCGACCGACCGACCGACCGACCGACCGAGTGGTGGGTTTCACGCAATGTCTGAACTAAAAGCGGGGATTTATTATTTAGCAAGGCGAAAACATTTTATGTCTGCTGGAAGGTTCCGCCTCAGAGGCGTTATCACGAGTGATAACAAAAAGAGTCTTGTGATGACGTCATCATGACGTCACATCATGTTACGCCACATCTGCCCCTTACATGGCTCTGCACTGCCTCCGTGACCGGTCCACCTGTGGCCAAGCGACGACTTCATGTGATGATGTTACCATGACATCACATCACGTGACTCCGCATGATCAGGCTATTAGATGACGTCGTTGCTCGGTCATAGGTGGACCAGTCACGGAGGCAGTGCAAAGCCAGGTAAGGTGCAGAAAGCTTTCAACGCCACCGATCCTGGAGGCCCTGCGAAAGCCACATTGTGTGCAGAACACTTTCGGAAGCGAAGGTTGGGTGGGAGGAGTGAGGGGAGGGGGTGAGGAATAATAAATTGACTGAGAAGAAAAAAGAGTGGCTTTCGCCTTCGGGCAGTCTCAGACGAAGGCAAAAGGAACCTCGTGTGTTTTTATTGGTTTATATCTCAGCATTTTGTTCTCAACGACGCCGCGACACCAAAATTTTGGCGAGACGAGCGCTTTAACGCTATCGCGTTAAAATATTGGCCGCACGTTAGACACTAACATTTCAGGTTGGGAGCCAGCTCGACATTTGGTAATGCATTAAGTTTCATAATCGGGAACCAGGTTTCATTCAAGATAAATAGAGCACGCATAGTGAGATATACGTACGCATCCAATTACCCTGGCCTTCCCATTCAAGTACGCTGTTCCCAACCCTTCTCCCTTCCTTTGAAAATGAGTATGGAATGGGAATAATGTTCTCCCCTTTCCTTGAAACCTTCTGCCCCTCACGTAGTACTGCATTGTGTCCGAAATAGACCCACCTTTGATCGACTACGTCAATTGACGTCACATTACGTACTGATGTAATATTGTGACCATGACTTTTCGATGACATCAAAAATTACAGCCATGGGGCTGAGACGGGTGCGCGACCCAAGCGCATTCCGGAAGACAAAATAACTTTATCTTCCTTCCTTTCTTCCGTCGAAATTTTCGCAATCTGACGAAATGACATCATCATGCGACGTCATCATTCTCTCGGAGAAGGTCACGTGGTTTTGTAGAGTGGGTCGCGAAAAATCTCGCAGGGTGTCGAAAAGTCTCGCGAAAGCAAAAAGCCTAAATATTCCTCCTTAATTAAGAAACAGCGAATACGAATTGGTAGCGCCTTCATTACATGAATCGAAACAGCACAAACCCCCTGTACGTAAGAGATAAGAGAGGACTGAACAAAACTGACTCATGCTTACCTTTCCTTTACAAAAATTTTTGATATCTTCTTCGGTCGCGCTGCACCCTGGTTTCAATATGATCCAAGCACAAGCTTCCTCGCCCATTCTTTCATCAGGAACTCCAACGACCTGTGGGTAGTGTTGACGACACCTTTGCTTCCCCGAAGCATTTTCGCTTCATGCAAGATTTTATTGAATTATTTACGCTCCTCTGCCCAATATGCCAAATCAGCGAGATAAACATAATCACATCTTGCAATTGGCCTTTCTTAAGATCCATAAGCATGACGTACTTTTGCTGTTACTCGAGTAACGAGTATTTGTTTCGTGTTGATTTGATTAATATGTGCGGTTTAACGTCCCAAAACCAGCATAAGATTATGAGAGACGCCGTAGTAGAGGTCTCCGGAAATTTCGACAACCTGGGGTTCTTTAACGTGCACTCAAATAAGCACACGGGCCTACAACATTTCCGCCTCCATCGGAAATGCAGCCGCCGCCGCAGGGATACGATCCCACGGCCTGCGGGTCAGCAGCCGAGTACCTTAGCCACTAGACAACCGCGGCGGGGCTATTCGTTCCGTGTTGCTGGTTTGTCTATGCTCCATTGCTACGACGTAGATTGTATTTGAAAACCAACAATGCATTAGGTATAATTGCTCAAGCGTACATTGCTTATGTTGCTGACAGCACGATCACATCAATATTCAAGGAAGCGAAACGTATACTTTGATGGGTTTTGGCTGGGTCCCCACACAAGGGTTTTCAGGTAAATCTACAAGTAGAGGGTCTATTGTGCCTGTACAGGTATCAAAAAAGGAGCCGTAGATGAATATTTCGGTGCAAAACATGCCCCAGAAGTCGCCGGCTTTAAATACCACCCACCGTCAGCGACCGCCATTCGGCCATGGCACTTGCAACGTCACGTGCAGTGAAAAGCGGCGCCGTTGCCTTCTACACCAATTGCAGACGCTACAAATCATCCGATTTCAGTGCCAAGCAGAAGAACGCTAAAACATGTCGATTTCACGTGCAGCTGATTACTGAACAATATCGTTCACCACAATGCAGACGTTCCCCGAGTCAGCTGATTTTTACGCGACGGCTTGCGAGCGCGCCAGTGTTGCCCGATTCCCAAGCCAGTAGCGTGCCTGTAAAAATTTTCACGTATAAGAGAGAGAAAGAATAATTTGAGGGAAAGGCAGCGAGGTTAATCAGAAATTGGAGCATACGGTTTGCTACCCTGCACTAAGGAAAGAAAAAATAGGGAATAAATATAGAAACGAAAGCGAAGAGCGACGTAGACGCGCGGAAGTGATTAAATGATCGACCAAATACGCCAATATTTCGCCTGATTTTTTTTCGAATACTCAAGGATTAACCCTTGTAGCAGAGATTATGATCGAAATTCGGGTGTCAGAACCTCTTTAACACCGAAAATCAGCTGCAAGGAACCTGAAGAAAAAAGAAAATTGCCCGCAGCTTCCCTCGGGGGAACACTGAGGAGGATGCGGAGCATATAATTGCTTAACGGGGTGTTAAAGTGCGACTTACTTGGGTCGATGGCTAAATTGGTTAACGTGGTTGTGAAATGGGGTGTTAAATTGCGACTTACTTGGGTCGATGGCTAAATTGGTTAACGTGGTTGTAGGAGGGGGTGTTAAATGAGTGAACACGTACACACGTATGCGAAAGGGCGGCGCTGGTCGAAGGGACGTCGATCATTGTGTTTGTGGATTCGTTGGAATTCATTTCACCGCGACTTTGGACGTCGACGCGCCGTACAAACCAACCGACGAGCGGCAACTGAGCGAGCGAGAGCCGACCTTGAGTATATATACAGCACGACGGCGCATGCGCTGTCAGCTGTCGAATGTTCTCGAAGGAGAAGCGCGCGCGGCACAGATGGTGGGCGACGGCGCGACGGCGCATGCGCGCGCGTCAGCTGTCGAATGTTCGAGAAGCGGTGCGGACGGCGCGGACGGCGCACTACAAGGCGCGAGTATAAGATGCTTCCGCATCTAAAAGTACTTTATACGCATAATGAGAGGCATTTAACATCTCCATAGCGGAGACTCATTGCAACATATTTAAAATCAGCTTTCGTAGCTGCTCCGATAACTTAGCAAGCACTGAAACCGGACTTGTTGGTGGTGACCTACAGCTTCCAAAAGCGCAAGAAAAAAAAAATGATAGCACGAATACCACAGTACAAGCGCTTTGTCGTGACTTTCTTTCGCGGTAGTGCGCGTTAATCTTTTCAGAAGCTAGGTTTTGAGGAGCTATGTTTAGTACAATATTTGCAATTTTAATTATCACTAAGACAACAGCTCAAAATGCGCACGTTTATGCGTTCAGGACACTGACGACAGATCACCCATTAGAAAAATACTTAGCTCACTTGCTGCGTTACTTATAGAATACCCATCAAGAAATCCGCTTCAAGTACACATGTACGTCAGTTGGTCCTATTTTACATATTAAAAAAAAAGGCTCATGAAGCGTACCTGAACTTCTTCAATGGCCGGATGCGTATAGAGGAAGTCTTCGATCTCCTGGGGGTAGATGTTCTCGCCTCCACGGATTATCATGTCCTTTATGCGACCCTTTATAGATATTCTGCCATCTTCAGCCATCACAGCCTCGTCCCTGGATAAGGATGGATAATTATACTTTGTAAATATTGCCAACAGCTTTGCATGACGTCAGAACGATAAGTAATGGCTACACTATACTGTAGCCAAGTTATTGTGACGTTTAGCATGAAAAAACTATTTGCAGTTATGACAACAAGCGTTTGCTTCTGTATTCAACTAGGATGTCTCAAATATTCTTGGGGTTGTATAATAAGCCTGACGAGCACTCAGTTAAGGAAAGTATCACTAATGCCCTACTAGTTTATGTCTAGCGAATCTGCCAATATGACGGGCTTTTATGCTAGCACGGTCACAGTGATCAATAGCCACACTGATAATGCCTCATAGGAGTATATTCACAAGCAGATAAAACGGGTATTTTCATTGAATATTGCTTAACGCACGCATGGTATAATAAACACATCGTCGCACAATTCCATAAGTGCCGTAACTCCCATGGTCGGGATTAGAACACACGTCCTATAGAGCTCAGAAGTGAGCAACACCGACCAACGAGTATGTTGACTTTTGCAACTGCTTAATGGCATCCCCAGTTGAAGTTTCACAGGCGGAACACAACAATCTTGCGGCTTTGCTAAAGAGTACCAAAAGATATCGCTAAATATAAGATCTTATTCAAACGCTCAGGCTAACCATACGCCAAATCATTCTTTTGTGTGAAGAAGCAGCGATATCCGATGTGAAGATTATTGCAGACTATGGCAATGCAGTACATTAAAATGCGTTATTCCGTTACGCTTTGCAATTGATACCCGACAAAACACTTTTTATGTAAATGGAGGTATTGCGTTGTGTGTATTGTAAGTATCAGATTATGGCAAACAATGTGCATTCCACTTGGTAAACAAAGAGCTCGATACTTTTGAAATCGCTGTGTACAGAATAAAGGTTCCAGGACAAGCTCCAAGTATACGCTCCAAATACGCTCGAAAATAGACGATCCGCTTCTGTACTGCGTTTGATTTCCACTCATCGATTGAATAATGATGCACCAAATGGCCCAATGGTACTTTCTTCAGCTAGGTTCTTGCTCACCCAGTGTGGTACCAGCCGTTGCAAATGGCTTTGCGGGTATTCTCTTCGTCGTCGAAGTAGCCCATGAAGACCAAGTAGCCTCGGGTGCACAGCTCACCTCTCTGGCCCGTAGGCACTATCTTGTTTTCCTTGTCGACTATTTTCACCTTCAGATAGGATGAAACAAAGACACAATCATTCGCATCGACTGCCAATGATGGTTAGCTATCAAATACATTCTAGACCATCAGTGCATGACAAATAGAGCACCCATATCCCGAATACTGACAGAAGGAACACGAGACACGGACGCTACGCCTCGTGCTAACTGTGCTGGTACGTGCCCGTGTTCCTTGCACTTGTATTTGTCTTGCAAAAGTAAGCATGCATATGTTCACCTGACTTGAGCTGGGTTCACTTTAATATATATAGTTTAGTTGAAGAAAAAGCAAAACGAGTTATTTGCAACTTCAAAGTTTCCACAGCAAGCAATTTAGAACAGATCAGAATATAACTGTTGGCCTCAGCGAAAAAGTCAGTTTCTCCAGCACAATCGAGTACCCTATAGCTCACGTAAAAAAAGTTGGTGATTTGAGAATTTGTGTTGCCAGTAATGTAGATCAGCCCGTAAAGGTTGCGTGCAGCTAGAAGCTTATTTCTAAAACATAGCGTTGTCATCGACTCTGTTATGCTCGCGAGCTGCAACGCATAGTGAATCCTTTAGGTTTTGGTTTGAATTACTCGCGTTCAAAATTAGCTTGGCATGCGCATTGAAATAGCCCTTTGGAGGAGCGGGTATTAGAGGTCATATAAGCGCGGTACAGCTTCGACAGGATTCGCTTGAGCGTGTTTTGTAAAGACATTCATCCGAAATGCAAGTAAGCAACAATTGTCAGCTTGACTAAAATAAGCTTGAGTCCTGAGAGCGACACAATATCGCAAGGAAGATAGCGGTGCGAGATATATCACCAGCGTGCTCAAGATGCTCAAGTGTTTGTTATCGCGACGTATAAGTAGCCCCAAGACAAACTAGATCATCTTACTATGAGATAACGCCGGTGACAATGCACTTCCTATGAAGGGAAACTTGTTGGTCACAAGATGGGCTAACCTCAGTATGTTGCACAGGTTTGCCTACGGAATGAATCCATTTGTCCAGTGGATCATCTGGTGTCGTTGCCGTTATCACAGGACTCGTCTCGGTCGTGCCGTACAGAATCTAAAGAAAGAAATCAAACGACAAAATGGGATCGCATCAAGTTATTTCAACACCCGAACTGTTCAATATATGCGCTACCAAAGGAGTAGCGATTACGCCTTTTGAACTGTCGATGAAATGAAAATGCATACACTTTTGTGCTCGAACAAGCATTTCATGCCAACCCGTCTAGTGTAAAGTATCAGGTAATGCACAGTTTCTATGGAAACAATATTTCCAAGCAGCTTTATCAAAATGAGAACAGGTTGTAAAGATATTTATTTTTTGGGCTATAACAAGGTTATCAGAACTGCTTACGAAAAAAATGATTGTGCAGAGCAACAGTACAGAAACGAAATGCCATATCTGCAGCTCGATGAACGCATGCGCAGATTCCGCTCATAAGACTAAGATAATTTTAAAGGACATCGAAGCCTGAAAAAAAATTATGGACCATCTCTCCCGAAGGGAACCTTGATGTGATGCGAAGCTGCAGCAGTGCGCATACCATTGACACAGCTGAAACAGGTGTCGACGCGGGTGCTGAAAAAAACGGTTTCAAGCGAAACTCTGTGTAGCGTTTACTCAAGTAAACGTTTCTTTGAAACGCAAAGACACAGGAGGTGGGTTGGGTTTCGTGTAAGTTTCATCGCAGATAAACAAGCCGAAAGAGTGTTTCCGCTCGACATGCAGACGAGAGTTGCTGGTGGTGGAGAGGGTGCAGAGAGAGAGAGAGAAAAGTATTTTGCGAGTGGGCGGAGAAGTAATACCACCTAGGGGTGTTGGGAGGAGCCGGCAGCTGCTGCGGGTGAGGAAGAGAGTGACGTCAACGCACAGCTGTGACTTGACCTTGTTGGCATTGTTCCAACTGCGGTTGGGGGGGGGGGGGGGGTGCGGTGTGGTGCGTTGGCATGGAGACACGGACGGACAGCGTTACACAGGCTGGTCAAAAAGCTGATTTGCATCTAAAAAAAAAGCGAAGTTACGTGTGCTTTTTGATTGTTGATGTACTTAAAAACACCGGTATAAGTTTAGTGCAGTACGCAGCATACGCCCTAAAGTGCTGGTACGGCACTACAAATGAAGCAAACATCAAAACTGATGAATATTGATTGCTTGGTAAGCATAAGAATGGTTAGTTTATACTTACGAAGAATCGCTGAGCGTTGAGTTCTGTCATCACCCTCTTGACAACCTCTGGTGGGCATGGTGATCCGGCCATGACAGCTACGACAATGTGAAAATATAGGCTTTGTTACAACTCATCTTGGCCGGCGCAGACTGTTCGAACTCATGCTGAAAACGTCGTTTTCTTTTAAATGTGAAAATAGCGTTAGAAGTCCTGTCATTTTGTGCACTTACGAAGCTTGAATGCACAATATGAAATGTTGGCCGATTGGATATATACAGAAATATTTGTATACAATGCCTTGGCTTTACATGAAAAATATTACTGAATCAATGTTCTCAGCTTGATACTAGCTGTAATACTCAAGGGAAAATAACAATGGAGGCGGAAGTTTTGTACGCCCGTGTGCTAAGATTTGGGTGCATGTTAAAAAATTCCAGGTGATCGAAATTTCCGGAGCCCTTCACTACGGCGTCTCTTATGATCATATGGTGGTTTTGGAACATTAAACCCGCCATATTAAATCAAACAAATTGATTCGGGCTTATTTTCAACATGCCAGCATGGCAAGAAAGTGTCCATTTGCATTGCTGAAGTTGTTGCATACCCTTCTTATTTTCCTTGCTAATGTTCTGATAGCTTAATTGTTTTACTAGGCAATAACGAAATGATTTAAGTAATGTGCAGTGTTGTTTTCAACTTTGGTTCATTTAGATGCCACGAGGAAATCCGTTAGTTGCCGAAAAATTCGCCCTGATCCGGGGATCGAACCCTGGACCAACGCCTTTCCGGCGCGGTCACTCTACCAATTGAGCTAACCAGGAGGCTAGCAATTGGCAGTGCGAAGGTGAAATCATCGATAACGCGAAGCACATGGACACAAGGAATGCAAATCAATTCTGCAAAGGCCCACCGAGATGTCTTTTTCCTTGCTTAAGCCTTCTGTGGCTATGCATAACACAAACATACACTACCGAGCGTTTAGATTGAGATTTCTTTAGATAAGTTTTATCTAATAAGAACAGGGCAGCGCTACGTTGATGAGTAATTAATCTATATATTATCATTTTTAGCGCGATCGGCATACTGCGGCAGCTCAAGATTTCATTCGTCAAGGCTTGGTTCATTGCAAGCCTAGCTTCACCATCTGCTATTGGGCTGCATACTTAATTTATGTCAACTACGTGCACACAGTCAAACAATTTCAATAAGCGTGGACTGCGTGTGAACGAGAAAGGCGGGCAGTATGACTGGCCGCCTTTCTTTTGTATCCGCGACTCGACTTATTCAGATGGAACCACGAACTTTCTGGAAATCTGTATCGGGCCGAATCGCAGCACAAGCACCCGAATGCACAGAACCACGTAAAACTGTCGATTGCAGCCAATGAAATGTTGCAACACCATGCCTACCTCTCTTCATGGACGAGACGTCATACTGGCCATTTTTCAAGTGATGTAAAATGTCTATGAACATGGTGGGCGTTCCGTAGATGTGAGAGCACCTGTGTCAGAAGCAGATCATACAGAGAAGCAAAACGGAGAGGCGAGCGAATCAGGACTGATCCGTAACAACGTAAATGTAGCGTGAAAAGACACGGACAAGAAAGGGTACGCCACAATCACTTATAACTCGCAACTGAAAGCTTTAATTCTTGAACCGAAATCATGTAACACTTACCCCCGTATTCTAGAACGTCCCTTCACTCACCGCTTCCCCTTCACTTGAAAAAGCCGATGGGGCGCCGTCTCTAGGCACGGCAAGTAACTGCATATTAGCGATAATCTGCTGTGATTCTTCAGTAGCGCAGCGTCATTTTCTGCCGAGCGGTGGCGCAGTGATCTACTCTGTCAAGTGAAGGGTGGAAGTCGAGTCGAGGATCGTTTGTGAATACGTGGGTTACACTTGGTGCTCAACGAAATCCCACGCACGCGCATCGTGGGCGAAACAAAAGGCAATAATACAAACCAAGAACACACCTCTTGCACCCCCTTCTCCACCGGTATACCCCTTTTCCATACAGAGAAGCCGCGCATTGAGCTCGGTGTCATGCTGTGTAGCTTGCTCGCTGTGAACAAGTTGAATTTTCGGCACCAAAGGCGGCCGCACGTCACGCGATTGACCGAGCTACGTAACACTTCTCGCGTATATATATATGTTTTTTTTGTGGCCACTTGTATGCGGACACAGAATATTGTAAGACTGAAATGTACTTCTCGTTTTGTATGCAGTTCAGCGATGCTTCCGCCTTGAATCCAGGAGCTGGAAACGCGATGGTGGCCCCGCAGTGCGCCGCTGCAATAGTTCCGCCGACGCATCCGAAACAATGAATGAGTGGCACGTTCAAGCAGATAACCTGATGTTGAAGTGAAATAAATGAGAATGTTTAATCAAGTGGCATCAGTGGGTTCCGAGCAAAAGCACATGCTTAAGAATAGAGCTGAATAATTGCTGATACGAGGACAGGGCCCCGTAGTTGTGAATACATCATGAATACATATATACATATGCGTTTCTCTAATAAAACTTCCCGTTTCGTATTCCAACATAAAGAAACTGCGATACCCTTGAGCCTCGCCTTCGAAAGTTGAACGCTTTAGCAATATGCCATCCCTTGCGTACTTAAACGAATTAGGGCATACTTTTTATAGCGTGATGTTACTCGATAAGTTCAAATTGTGGACTACAACAATGTAACAGATAAACATGGAAGTGGCTTGTGTCAGTGTAGGCTTTCGCATATCACTTCATTCTGTGTAATGGGTAGCGTACTTTAAATTACGAGCAATAATGCGCGGGAAATCTTTTTTCTAACTCGCTATGCACCCACTACGTGGTCTTCGGGACATATGCGCTGTAAAGTATTCACAATATGTAATGGGTAGCTAGTTTTAACCCACAAAGTGGTAACAATAATCACGTGCTCTCACACCCGACGACAATGTACGCTTTTAACACGCAATATTACTGTGATAATACATGTTTTATTGAGAAGCCTGTATACAAAATGCGTGTGCTTGTGAAGCATGAACGTTATTTTCACTGCATTTCCAAGCCGAGAAAGTATTTTTCAAGTGCAGTTCCAAGAAGACGCGTGGCTCTGTAGTAGAACATCTGCTTGCTACACAAACGGCCAAGCTTTGATCCTCACTCGAACCCGGAAATGTTTATGTTATTTTTTATGTTTATTGATTCTTCGGTAACGCACAAGTTGATTTTTCGCTCACAACCGCTGACGCGGATGCTGGGTTTTCTGCAAACGAGTTCATTACCGCCATCGCATTATTGCATATACATAGCTGTGCCCAAATTTCACAGTACAAAGTATCGTTGTCGTCAGCAATTTTCGACATCTTTGGGACTCACCCCAATTGCTTGATGAAATTCGTGGGCGCGCACGTTTTACTGGATAATGTTAATCGAAAGATGCAGTGTTGTAAATTTAGAGTAGAATGTCAGTAATGCAACAAACATTTAAAAAAGTATCATCACAAATTTGCCAAGCTGCAGGAGTTTGCTATGCCGTACAAATTTCCTGCACGCAGAGACTGTTCTGAACAAGCTGAGAAGCTCAGAAAATGCTGATGAAAAATTTTATTTTTAAAGTCAATTTTTCGCATGGCGCACCTACCAACATCGACACCAGTGTGACGTCAAGGTGCAGTACTGATCCTGGTGACATCACGCAGCAGTATCGTTAGTTGTCATGACGTCAGGTACCTAAACTTAAAAAAAGAATGGTCACGTGTGCATGTGTCACCAACGGAGCCACGTAGCGGAGTGGCCGGGAAAACTGCGCGAGGTCTTGTCGGAGCACGTGACGAGACGCTCCTACTGTGTTCTGACGTCATGTTGCAGCAATAACCGAAGCTAGCTTGTAAAAACATGCCCTAATTAATCTTCTAGGACACACTCACACCTATAAGAACATCTATAGGCTTTTGAGGGCTTGGTCTTCCACTTGACGCAAGAATAAACATCTGAAAATTTTGTCAGTACCCCCTCGACGCTAGCATAACTCGCAGCACCCCTCATGCATTGAGCCAACGCGAGTAGAATGAGAAAGCCATCCTTTTCTTCTCACTCGATGTATTGAACCATCCAAGCCCCACTCCTGACGTTCTGTACCTAGTGTGGTTTTGCAATGCCCTCCGAGATTAGAGGCACTGCAAACTTTCTGCCACTCCCCTCGCTTTGCGATGCAACCATGATCTGCACACGTTGGACTGAGCAGCTATGGTATGAAATTACGTCACCATGCGACGTCACAATGGCGACAGAGTGACGACACAAATTCTCGTAACTTCTGACGTCACGATGACGTCACGCGATTGCTGCATGACGTAACCATGTCATTGTAACCTGTCAGTATGTAACAATGACGTCACGTGACGTGATGACGCCACCCGATGACGTCACCACGTGATTATTGCGGGCACCACCCGTATTCCCACTGCCGACGCGAGACGTAGACGGTCATTTTTAGTGTTTGGTAAGACATTTTTAAGGCTTTAACCCTAAAAACGCCGATTCTGTCCAACCGCTGAAACGCCAACGACACGAGTGCTCACCTGCTTGTCGAGCTCCAATATCTTGCCCACCAAGTAGCCGTTGTTGACAACATTGAAGTGAGACAACTGCGCTGCCTTGGGCTTACCCGTCGTGCCCTGCGTGGCGAACAACCTTGATTTTAGTTGCTCTCAGTCAACGCCACTTCTGCACTGTTGCGAGAAGAGGAGGAGTGAGAAATTCCTCTTACAGATGTGAACTGAAGATTAATGGGATCGTCGAACTGTAGTCTAGATGCGACTGCGTGCATGTCCTTCAGTTGCTGGTTTGTAACTGACTCCGTGAGATCAGCGTACGCCACCGCACCCCTGCAGATAAAATATGAACTGTCGCGGACATTTGCCGAGCAAGAAGAGACGACGGTTATCTTTAATGTGGTTACAGGCGAACGTTCTGTGCCGTCTGCCTTTCGTACTTAATCTAAATAGGGTCGGTGCATGGAGAAAAATTTTAAAATATCTTACGGTTTTGTTTCGTCGCTAATAGAGATGACATATTTAAGCTTGGGCAACCTGCAATAAAAAAAAGCAGTGAGCTTTGATATGAGACATTGGGTTCAAATGTCATTTAGACGCAGTAATGATCTTATGGTGATTAGGGCACATGCTCCGACTTGATGTCAGATAATTAGGCCTAAAGCATAAGTGATGAGATTCTCTTACGATAGGCAGCCGTACGATAGGCAACGTACGAGGCATAAGTATCATATGCGTAGGTACAAAACTTTGTTCGTGAGCGATATTTGAGCACACTGCTATGATACTGTGAAATGTTTCAGCCTGATTCCTTATCATATAGCTCGTAAATCACTTAAAAATGTCTTGCGGAAACTTGTGTTAGACTCATAAAGATGTAAACACAAGATGGAACGTACGAAAAAGAAATTTCGGTTATCTAAACTTTAGAGATTTAAGTGTTATAAACCAAGATATGATTATTAGGTCCACCGTTGTGAGGGGGCTTCCGAGCAATTATAACCACACTTGATTTTTCCACGTGGATTCATATCTTTGTACACGAATGTTTATTTTTTTTATTTTCGCCCTCATAAATAAGCGGCCGCTGAATCCTGAAGTACTCGAGCTAAGCAACGGAATGATATGACCAATAAATTGCCTCGGCAGATGAGACGCTATGCCCGAGAGTATAGAAACACTCATAAACGTACTTTGCACTTTTCAGATTTCCAGGCATCGAAGATTCCAGCTCTGGGGTTATTTGTAGCAGCATCTTGTAGTAATCTTGCCTTGCGAATTGTGCGGAAAAAATGACGGCCTCGCAACCTGTCTGAAACGGTTCATACATCAGTTGCACTGCAAGTCTATAAAGCGCCAATCGCCAACATTTCACGATCGCTAAATCACGAATAGACCAAGGAAAGTCGCCAGTTACTGGTCAGGTTCATTTAACGATGTTCTGCCGGAAAGAGGCAGCAACTGATGTGTCATGGGCTCCCTTGTTCGTGACGCTTGTTCCTTTTAGTGAGTGCCGATCGATTAGGAGGGAATTTGAATATTGCGTACCAGCGATTCTGAGCTGCTAGCTGCCATGTAAAAAAAATTAGAACACACAACAGCTTAGGGCTTTCGAAACGTAGCCAACTGGTGCTTCGAGGTTTGCTAAGTTATGTGTCTTCAATTCAAGCAACAACTGTACTCGTAAGCACCAACAGCTCTATCCATTATAGAGGTTGATTATATTGACAGTTGTTTAATAACTATCGGTAGTTTAGTATACCTTGACAATTTGGTTCGAGAGCAGTCCTTTGTTTGAACCATTTTTATTGACTTATGTTGTGGTCCTTACTAACAAAAGTGCTCCCGATAGCTCCACTTACCTTATGCAGGGCGTATTCAAGTTCAGGAACTTGGTAGGCCGTGTTGATGTTCACCTTTGGAGGCGCACATGGAAAGAAATATGAAGCAGAGTTAATTGCACCACCTAATCAGAAAATAGACATGTTTCAGTAATTTTGGGCATTAAGTAATGTCTATAGTGCCGTGGCGAGGTATCATGATGCCCATTCATTCATGAATGTGCGCGCTGAGAGCCGTCGGTGCCAATGTGTAGCGACGGCTATTCCTCTTAGAAGGTGTATTTACCCAGAACATTATCACGAGGCATAATTAATTAAGAAACGAACTCATGGGTGAGCATTTAAATGATAGTTTTCAGTGCTGTGATATAAAACTCTATGCAATAAAACCTTCGCGCGACAAAGAGGTACGCGACTCTGGAAAATTGCTTCGTTCAATATTGAATACACTTTCAAGTAACATATTTGGCTTCGAATTGCATCACGAGTTAATAGCGAAAAGTTTTTATTTGTCTTGCACGCCGTAAAATTGCGTAGCTATGGCCTAACCTTCCCAAGACATTAGCAGTGGCATTGTATAGCATAGTTTTTTTTTAGCTCTGGTCTGTTTCACTAGGCTGTAGTTAGTTCACAAAGTATCCGGTTTTGATGTTTGCGGAAAACATTCAAGAGGATGATACTTTAGAGGCCAGTAGCGATTTGAAATGTTTACTACAAAAAAAAAATGATTAGGAAATGACTAAAAGAACACGAAGTGCTAAATACGGAGGGATGGCTAGTCTAACGCAGCGTCAACGTCATCCAGCAGCGGCTGGTGTTGTCCACGCGATGCTATCACGTTACGCTATACGTTAAGCTGGCACGAAAACTGAGCCACACGCACCGCATAACCAACGCATGCGCAATCGCGCGTGCCCGGCGTCCCTCGTGAATAAAATTTCACTGATTGTCGTGGTTTTCGTTACATTGTATTTGTTTTTTTTTTTTGTTTCAGCATTGTACATATAAATATTGGACGGTCATTAAATCTTTTTTCTCCTTAATCTTTCGCTGTAAAGCGGATGAAAATTGGATGGTGCGTGACAAAAATAACACCCAATGAAATAGGTCAGTTCTAAAATAAACACTGTGTATTTAGTGACATATATACTTAAGGTGTAACCTTATGAGACAAGAAGAGAGCAGAGTGGATTAGGGAACAAACGGGGTTAAGGATATCATAGTTGAAATCAAGAAGAGGAAACGGACAAGGGCCGGGCATGTGGCGCGTGTAGACAGGATAACCGCAGGTCATTAAGGGTAACTAACTGGATTCCCAGAGAAGGCAAGCGGGTTAGGGGGAGACAGAAGGTAAGGTGGGCAGATGAGATTAAGAAGTTTGCGGGTATGAATTGGCAGCAGCAAGCCCAGAGCCGAGTTGACTGGTGGAGCATGGGAGAGGCAGTGGACGTAGTCAGGCTGATGATGACGATAATACTTACGAGTACCAAACCGGCCTTAGCAGTGGCGAATTGCACGACTGCCCACTCGTACATGTTGGGCGCAATTATGGCGATCTTGGAGCCGACGCGGAGCTTGAGGGATACGAGGGCAGCGGCGAGTTGGTCAATCTGCGAAGAGTGAAGAAACATACGTTAGTCCGCCACATCGGATACTTTTGGACTATCTGATGCTAACGGATAGCAACGTGGTACAGTCGCGCCCAACATAAGTTGAAACATGCTGCCCTTGACCAAAGCAGTGCCAGAGCTGCGTAGTGGCGTCGACATAGAAAATAATCAGTGACGTAAGCACTGTTCCGGCTACCGCTATTTAAAAACCTATGCGACATTTCGCACCTTTATAATGGGGACCCGTCAAACATGGCCCCCGCGTCGCAACTTGTATTTAGCGCCACCACACGTGTGCTGAGCGAGCTGCGACTTGTTGATGATGAGATTTGGTGCGAAGAAGCCTGCACACAGGGTGAGTGCCTGTACCGTATTTTCTTCTTTGTGTGCAGTTTTCTTTGTGGTGCATCTTACGATGATTATTATTATTATTATTGTGATTTAATTTGCATACACCTATACACAAGGACGCAGAAGAAAGAGGGAGATAGCAAGCTTGCAACTGCCTCCTGAAGGGGCACAACGCCTGCCTATATAGATATACTCTTTCGGGAGGAGCGAAGAGATAGACATGAACAATGTGTTCAAGGCAAATAAGTCAAGCCACACTCATGACATCCAACGCATGAAAAGTCAGGCAGACGGCTGCCGCAGAGGATAACATCGCTAGGAAAGACAAATAGATTGTTTGAGCGGGCATGCGTCTGCTGCAGCTCATTCTGAGTTGAATGCCTCAGCTTACGTCTTTCTTGTACTCCGAGTAGGTCTTTCTGATGGACTGGTGACACGACACGATGGCGACGCTGTCTCCGTGCTGATCAGCCGCCCTGTCCACTAAATCGCCGATCGTGAGGGGAAGCAAGGGCTGCTTGCCCGGTGTGTGGTGGTAGCTGAGGCCGGCGAGTGATCTCCTGCAAGCGGCAGAAGCGAATGTCAACTCTTTTTTTTATGGGGTACAGTAGCGTACAGTGTTCTGTCGAGCTTAATTTGAGGATCCATCCCGCATTTCCATAGGCAGTGCTTGGGCGATGCGCGACACGAAAGCGCTGTTGGTGTTCTAGGGGGCTGCACGCCTCAACGAAACTCAACGAATTACTGTTTCAGGTATAGTGTGCGCATGACTGCATTTGTTATTTGCGTGTATATGGGGTCATTATATATGCCATAGTCCACATCTGATCCGGAAGTAGCAAGCCAGGTGATAAACCTGACTTGCATGCCCAGGGTACTGACAAAAAAAAAAATAACCCACCCATCCGTTCTATCCTCCGCCCACCATTCAATAATTATTATAAATATAAAAATTAATTCGAAAATTTAATGCAGTCAAATTTCTTTATCAGATTGAAGTTTCCTTATGTGGCCTGTGCAGTTTTTTTTAATTACAACCATTTTACAATGCGACCTTTGTTGGCATGCGTCACTCTTGACCATATTGCCACGTTCCCTCCTCGAGATTCATTATCACCCCGTCACACTGGGGTGAAGTGGTTCTTAAAATTAGGAAAAAAAGTGAACCCCACAAATGTCAGCAGCTAAGTGCGACACCTCATCAGTGGTTCCCAGGGAAAGGGGAATGGGGGGGGGGGTAATATACTTCGAGCGGAGTGTGGAAAGAGGAAGCAGAGAGTGAGCGAAGAGACCGAAAAGGAAGGGGGGGGGGGACGCACAGATCGTCTGCAAAAATCACGGGGCGCGAATTATCTAAATGCGCTCACACAGTCCGCTTCCGTCAACAAATTCCAGTAGCACTGAAGGGGCACGCTTGATATACGCTGTACGTATCCTCAAAGCAAACCACGCCTGCAGAGTTCGAGAAGCTTCGGGGCGATACTAGATCGCTTCGTTGAGTTCATGCGCACTTCGCGAACATTACGAATTATTCTGGAACCTACGTGGCCGCTAGCAATAATGCTATAATATTCGACGACACGTGTATGAATACCACCGCGCTTCACCAATTATCGGTTGATCGACAACTGACGCTCTGTTAGCCGCTATCAGTGCCCGCGTATGCATGGCTGTATTCTGACCATTCATTTCTTGGCCACAAATTCGGCTGAATAGATAGTTTCAATCTTAGCATCGAGTCTCTTCCCTTCATCCACGTCACGACACGTGACAATATCTTAGTGTATATGATCAGTCGCCGCCCCTTAATTCTGAAATTACGAAAATATCATTATTAGGCTTACTATTGTGTTCGTACCCATTTTATCCACAACAATATACCGCTGGTGCGATGCGTAAAGTTTGAATACCCGTTAATGGGTATCAGCAGTGCACCCTGAAAGCTTTAGATGTAGATGTCAGCGGTATTTGCTTTGCGCGATGACGATGCTCGCGAAATAAAGATTTAAAAAATATGGCGAGTTCGATTGCAGTCATGCTTCGACTGCACGAAGGGATGTGGACAAAAAAAGACACTCGTCTCAGTGCCTGCATTGGATCCTGTCCTCTTAAATTGTTAAGCCATGCGGATGGATCCTACTCGGCGTTATTTTGTCACTTAACCGCAATCGCGTGTCAGAGAAGGCGTCCTCCGACTACGCTCCACCATTTGCTGTCCGTTATGTGTAAAGTGCTGTTCCTCCGGTTTTATTGCCCAGATTGTGTAGCAATACGCAACTGTCTGCTCTGCAATTAATGATCAGCGTGACGTGTTAAGATTGCTGTTCTGATACCCGATAGCAAGAGTTGATTCCCACAGAGTTACGTCGATAAGCCCGGATATGCACGCTCCAGTCTAGTTATGGGTACCCCGGAAAATGCCTTCTCTATCTACAGTTCCTGGCTAGGGGCGTAGCCAAGGGAGGGATTGTAGGGGGTTCAAACCTCCCTCTCCGAATTTTTAAAGTTTTGCTTGCGTACATATACACCCATACACACGTACGCACGAACACAATGTATGAGTGACTCCCCCCCCCCCCCCCGACCACCAAAAACATTTCTTGCCAAGCCCGTGTTCTTGGAAGTACACGGTGATTTACAAGGAAGCTGCAGAAAACAAACCAGCTAAACTGAGCCCTAAAGTGATTCTTTCTGTATCACCTTTCACTAAAGGATATGGTGATCTGGTAAACGCACCCTAAATTGAAAATTGAACTCGGTATAGTGCTCTGCTGATAACGCTTTTTTTTTAGAAATTTGTTGTCCCTGGTTTCATCGTCACAGGTTCATTACTATATAAAAATTCACACCACCGTTCTGCTATTGTGGTTCACGTCAATTATATGATAATGATAAGTGGGGTTTAACGTCCCAAAACCACCATATGATTATTAGAGACGCCGTAGTGGAGGGCTCCGAAAATCTCGACCACCTGGGGTTCTTTAACGTGCACCGAAATCTGAGCACATGGGCCTACAACATTTCCGCCTCTATCGCAAATGCAGCCGCCGCAGCCGAGATTCCATTCCGTGACCTGCGGGTCAGCAGCTGAGTGCCTTAGCCACTAGACCACCGCGGCGGGTTGTGCTTGACGTCGGAAATTGAGAATCTGAATGTCAGCGCAACATAGCGTTTCTTTTCGCATTTCGACCATATCAGAACTATTTCATTTTTTTTAACTTTAGATGTTCTCTCTCTGGAATCCTTAGAACACACTATAATATTTACCAGTTGAAAATCACAGATCCTACGAGACGCCTTCAATTCCTAAAGCGTTACTACAAATTGATTCGGGAACTGCAAGGGCAGCGTCACCACCAATATTTTCTTTTCCTCCGTTTTCTTGTTCCCCAAGCTCATTTTGTTGTCGTGATGAAAGCGTAATTTGCTTGCACCAGAAAAACCACACTGTTTTCTATGCCTTTGTCTGAGATCACTCGATGGCGAAGGTCGCCATTATTTTTTTTTTTTTGCAGTAAGTTGCAACCAAAGACAGTGTCTGTGATACGAGCTCTCAAACGTAGTCGGATTGAAACACGGACCTGTGCCATTAAATTTTCTGCAGCTGGTGCGGTAGACCTGTTTTATGTTCGAAAAAGCGGTAGGTGCCGTCGACATACTAAGGCACTTGTTGCAACGTGTAGGCTCCGCCCAGACCGAACCTCGTTATCACGCTCTATGATCACGTGACAACTCGCACGTGCTGGAGGCTCCCCAACGCGTTGTGTTCAGAAGCAGCTTTACAGCTGCTGTGCCGATTGTCACCTGCTCAGAGAGAGTGGTGGCGAGCTTTGGGCTGGGCGGAGCCTACGCATAGCGACGTCGTTACATGCGCCTCAGTATGTCGACGGTGCCTACCACTGTTACAAGCATGGAATAGGTCCATTAGCTGTACGATACAGCAAAAGCTCTATATTCTTATGTCAAGTGTTGCTTAGCAAACCGGACCCTTGTCCTGGTTGACCTTGTCCTTTCTATCTAGCTCTCGATCATCAGGCACTACGGCATCTCGCCTTCTCTCGTTTCGTATCCCTGCCACAGCTTGAAGCAAGTCAAGGTTGTCTGAGCTTAGGCAATGCCGCCTCGTGAGATAAGCATTTCTTTTCTTGCGTTTTTTTTTCTATGACACAACAGCTACCGTGGTACTAGCTTTCTTCCGATACATTTTCCTACGGTCTCTTTCATTGCCGGCCCTGAACGCCGTGTCTCACAAGACCTAAATACGTACTCTTTTGACCGGGAACAAATACTTCTCCACTCCAGTGAAAAGTTAACACAAGGTCACTTAGAGGCAATTAAAACGAAACACTGACCAGGATTAAAAGCAAATAAATGCACGAGGTTTCGGCTCCCGTACGGGAGTCTTGTTCGCAAGTAAAAAAAAAAAACACTGGATGAGTGGTCCGGCTATGTATCTATGGTCAGTGTGTCGTTTTAGTTGTCTTCATGCCTGGTCCTAACCAGACGGGTTTTCTTCCAACTAACGATTTCAACAAAGTCACTTGTTGAGTTCCGCCTGGTCGTGGTACCGTGGCGATGGCGAAGTGAGAAAGCTATACCGTCTCTTTTTTTTTTCATTTTGGCAGCCTCAAAAAAAAAAAACACTTGGGGGCTAAATAAGGCCTTTTCTTTCTGCAACACCTACTAAGCCTCTTAGCCTGCGTATATCATGTTCGCGACGGTAAATCAGAAATCGTGGCGTGGTCTTTCCTTGAGCTGCAGGTGCTAGTGGTCCGTTTGTTGGAGAGCAATTATGTGATTTAGTGAGAAGGAAAAGAAGAAGGTGGAGTGTTGATGATGGGGCCTCTATCATGGCTCATACCCACCCAGGGAAGTTGACCAAGAATTGATTATATTGCTACATGTAGGCTGCCGAAATGCATACTGCTGACGCGCGTGTGCACCCGACAAAGAGTGCGAAGGTCGCTTGCTGCTCGAGCTCGGAGCCGGACTGGCCAGCGCTGCAAGCACTCTTGCAAATATATTTGGGAAAAAGCTTGCAGTGAAGCGACTCGTTATTCTCGTAACAATATGAATATGTTTGTTATTTGAAGTTAAGAAAAAGAACAAAAACTTACTTAAAAACAAAAAGAGTGTAATATTCGTTGTTTTTTAATCATTCATAACGGACACTGTAATCTCTATCCTGAATAGACATTACAGTATTAGCAACAAAAACAAATACTCTACTGTCAAACAGGTCATTGTTGTACATCACTTCTGTTTCAGTGTCGTTGGTCCATGCCTTGCTAAGTAGTCTGATGCTGAATAATATTAATAAAAATGAAGTAATATTATCAAGAGTAATAATAAACTAATATACTAGGTTTAATGTCCAATAACCACGATATGTTCATTAGAGACGCTGCAGTGGAGGGTTCCGGAAGTGCCGAGCATCTGGTGTTCCTTAAAGGGACCCGAAAGGCAAATATTACGCTGACGTTTATTGTTGAAATAGTGGTCCAGAAACCTCCTGGCGCAAGTTTTGTGTCAAGGAAGAGCTTATGTTAAAATAAAATCA